GTGTGGTGGCATGCACCTGTCACCCCAACTTACTTAGTAGGCTGGGATGGGGAGGATCAAGGCCAGCCCAGGCAAAAATAAATAAATAAAGTTTGTAAGACCTCGTCTCACTAGAAAAAAGCTGTGCATGGTGGCACACACCCATCATCTCAGTGATGGCAGGAAGCTTAAAAAAAAAGGGGATCATGGTCCAGGAAGGCCTGGGCAAAAAGGGAGACACCATCTCCAATCTAACTAGAGCAAAAGGGCTGGAGGTGTGGTTCAAGTGGTGGAGCATCTGACTAGCAAGCTCGAAGCCCTGAGTTCAAACCCTAGTACCACTAGGGATAAAAAGTACACATTCCCAGGTAAGCCCTGGAACAGATTTCTCACTAAGAGCTGGACAGTCTGAATATGATCCAGGAGCACCAGGAACTTTGAGGATGTGACCTTCCCTTTCTGGACCTCAGCTTTCTCATCTGGGTTAAAGTTAGGGCACTGTTGTGCAGTGAAGTGAGGACCCATCACACAGCCAGTGTTCCAAGGAGCATCATACCTGGTAGGACCAAAACTCAGTGATTCAGCAGTGGGGTGAGGTGTGTTTTGCTGGTGGTGGGCTAGCCTGAGAACCTAACCACATAAACAGACATATCCATGGAAACCAGCTTTTTGCAGCACCACCTGTGTCAACTGGACACTCCCACAAACACCCAGTACTTCACACACCAGAGCTTAGGTTGGCCACAACCAGCCAAGGAGACCACAGGGCAGAGGTCAAGCTGAGATGTCCAGGATGAAAGCGGAACTGTTTCTGGTGACAGGATCACTCCTGAAAACCTTCAGGTTCAGGTAGGGGCTGTGGGCACAGCTAACAGTAGTAGAGCACCTGCCTAGCAAGTGTGAGGCCCTGAGTTCAAACCCCAGTATGAGAGAGAGAGAAGAGAGAGAAAGAAAGGAGAGAGAGGGAGAAGAAACAGGGCTAGGGGTATAACTTAGTGATAGAGTACTTGCCTGGCATGTATGAGGCCCTGGGTTTGATCCTCAGACAAAAACAAGTAGTAAGTGTTTTTAACTGGAGAACACTGTACTTTTAATTTTATATGTGTTAAAACTACTTGACATTTTAAAGGTTTTTAAAATGGCGGAAAATATTTTATTGCAGTAAGAATACTTCACTTGAGATCTACACTCTTGATAGATTTTCAAGCGTGCAATTGACTGCAGTCCCTTGCTGCACAGCTCATGGTTACAGCTGATTCGCCTTGCTCGACTGAAAGTTCTACCTGTTGATGCACATGTGCACATACAACTACCATTCCATTTCACTCTCATTCTCTGAATTTGCTACTTTAAGTACAAATATGTGGAATCGTGCAGTACTTGTCTGTCTGTGACTTGATCATTTCACTTAGCATAATGTTCTCAAGGTTCATCCATGTCCCATGGCATAATTTTCAGCTTTTTAAAGCCTGAATAATATTCCATTTTATAGATATGTGATATTTTCTTCATCTATCAACAGACATTTTTTAAATATTTATTTTTTTAAGTGATACTGGAGTTTGAACTTGAAGCCTTGTGCTTATAAGGCAGGCACTCTACCACTTAAGCCACACTTCCAGCCCAACTGTTTTATTTTTTAAATTTATCTTTGTTAATTTACCATGAACATATATTACTTTAAATCTTTATGTAATTTAAAAACTGGGAAAAAATAGAAATTTAACTTTGGTCTAAAGAAAACTGGTCTCTTTCTCGTCCTTTCTGAGTGCCCCCCCCCCCCCCCCCCCCCGTCTCAGTCTCCATCTCCTCCATGTGACCCTGGCCAGGTCTGTGCTTCGAGCTCAGCTTATCTTCTATGTGATCTACAACGTGCATCACAACTTGAGACTCCTAGTACGATACTAGCCATGCTACGGTAAACTTATAAACAGCCTTAACATTCTCAAGTAAAGCATGGCGAAATGCAGCTCCTCAGTAGTGGGGCCCTGAGTTCATAATTAAGCACCCTTAATCCGGGGATATGGAGAGGCAGCGCTGCTTCCTAGGCAGCACTGCGTGAGGCCGGCCAGCCCTCCAATGCTCTGGCTCAATGAACGTGAAGGTTAATTAGCCTAATGAAGGCAAGTGTGAGTCTGTGAATTCCAGACTGCCTTCCTGCTCTCACTCCGCCACCCCAGGAAGCTGCCAATGTCACCTCCTGGAGCATTTCTTAGAGCACCAAGGAAGGGACCCTGTGTCCCTGTCTTCCTTCCTGTTTTCTGTGGGCAATCAGTGAGCACTCAGGCCACCTTGCTCAAGAACATTGGCCAGGGAGGGACCATTTGGCAGGCAGAATCACTGGTGAGCCTCTCTGGAAGTCCAGGTCCACCAACTCTTGTCCCTGTGACTTCTGAAAACCAGCTCTGTGCCCAACTAGGATGACCATGGCTCCGCCACCCAGCCCATCTCTCACCAGACCACAAAGCATCCCTGCCCAGAGGAATATCACTGCCCTGACGGGTAGGTACAAAAGTCAAGGTTCGGAAAGGTGTGACCATCAAAGGCCATTTGCCTGGGGAACAGGTACTCAGGTCTCTGGCTCTTTTAAGCCCTCCTAACCCTCGTCTTCCAGAGGCAAAGAAAAGCCAGAACCTCAGTGGCCCAGAAGCACCCAAACGGTAACCGTGACCACATGAAACAAAACAGTCTATCTACACAATTCGCCCCTAGGAGGAAGGAAATTCTAACACATGCTACAATGTGGGTGACCCCTGAGGACACTATGCCAAGGGAAAGAAGCCAGTTCCAAAATGCACGCTGATTCTAAGTACTTCTGGTCTGAGAATAGTCAAATCCATAAAGACAGAAAGTGAATACTGGTTTGGGGGCAGGGATGGAGGCAGTGATGGGGAGCTGTCACTCAAGGGATAGAGTTTAGCTTGGGAAGACGAGAGAGCTCTGTGGATGGGTGATAGTGATGGCTGCACAACATGTGAATTATTGAGGCTGTTAAACTGTGCACTTAAGATAGTCAAAGTGATAAAATTTATATTGCGTATTTTTTTGTGGAGACCAAAGCCAGGGCTTTGTGCAAGGCAGGCCAGTACTCAGTACTCTACAATGTGCTACATCCCCAGCCCTACACTGTGCATATTTCACACAAAAGAAAGAAGGAAGCACTGCGACATGCTACAGCATGAGGAACCACGGACACTCAAGAAGGCTGAGTGAAAGACGCCAGGAACGACAGGCCACACGCATTGTAGTGTGTTTATATGAAATATCCAGAATAGACAAACAGCATAGCTTAGTTGTTGTCAGAGCCTGGTGAGGGAAGAATGGGAAGTGAGTGCCAGTGGGTACCGGAGTCCCTCTTGGAGTGACTGAAGTGTTCTGGAATGAGACTGAGGTGAATGCACTCAATACCACTTAAAAAGTGGTTACCACTACATGATGGACTTTCACCTCGGTAAAAACAAAGAGAGCACTCTCCTACCATGCGGCCTCTCTTCCCCGCCTTGCTCCCAGTGCCCTGAACTCCCGCAAGTCCCGCCTGCTGAACTGGCTCCTCCTCTCTGCACACTCATCTTGAACATAGCCAGAGGCTGGGATACTGATTTATTCCAAGTGCCCAATCAAGACCAATAAAAGTAGAGGAAAACTGGTAGTCTGACACCTGTCAAAACAGGTGGGCCCAGTCCTAAGATCCAAGTGATGACCGGACCCCTGACTCTGCCATCCAGGGGCCTCTGTTTCTCATCCCCCAAGTTTTCCTTCACTCAGAGATTTAACTAAGCACTTCCCTTCTCCAAGTTCAGAAGCAGTCCAGGTACTCTGAGGACATCAAGAGGACTAACTGGGCCTGTCCTTGCAGGTCCCACTGTCTAGCTAGGACACCAAAGCCCTGGGAGCTAAGCCAAAAGAACAGTGATGCAAATGTGACTTTAGGTGGTTGGTGAAGACCTAGTGAGGAACTGGGTCTGCTGCTTTGAACCTACTGCCCAGGCCTGTTGGGGAAACAGGACTGATCTCTCTTGCCCAAGAGGCCTGAGCCCAAGGCTCCCAAACTGGGCCCATCAGCATCACCCCCATATCGTTTTAGTTGAGTAGCCCCAGACCTTTGAGTTCCTTCTATTCCCAAGAGCCCATAGCCAGTAAGAAGACCCATAAGGAGGATGAAGCCAGGTCTAGGCTCCTCCTTCCTTGGCTGGCTACCTGTTGCCCCCTTCACAAGACCAGCTAGAAGTCCCCTCTTTTGCTAATGAAGCAGAGAACAGGAAGACTAAAAGTGCGCAGGCAGAGGGAAAAGATGAAGATTGAATGGACCCTGCTCTCCTGGACAAGCCCCAGCCCACTCAGAACAGTGGTCCTAAAAAAAAAAAAAAAAAAAAAAAAACCCCTTCCTCGCCATATACAAGGATCCTGTGCCCAGCTGTGATCTGTCCACTCTTAAAGCTACTTTCCCTTTGGGGCAGAAAAAGGCACTTACTCCCATGTGAGGCACCTCCAGGACCACACCCAGGGACCAGCCCATGCCTGGCCTCTGACCTCTAGCCGCCAATGCATGGCCAGAGGATGGCATAGCAGGATCAGAATTTGGTCTCAAAATCCCCTAAATAGACAGGACTGCAGAGCATATGATCCTGTCTCAGGGAATCTTCTCAGTTCATGGAGCCCTTTGGCCTCTTTTTGGAAAGCAAAAGCTATAGAACAAACAGAAGAGGAATTGTTTTCCCCTGGAGAAAAAGAAAACCCAAATTGAAAAGTCTTCGCACTGTTCAGATACAACTAGATCAGGAAATACTGATGGATTAAAAACCTACATAACTGCACAATGTGGCCTGTATAATAATGTGACCAAACACAAACAGGAATCTGGGACCTCACTAGGCCAGCAGTTAACTTCCTGTTTGGTTGGACCTAAATCATGACCTTTCTGAGTCACAGGGTCCCATCTGGGAAACATGACAGGTGAAAGCACTGGTGACCAGATCACGACCTTTCTGAGCCTCAGTCTCTTCAGCTGTACAACTGGCGCAATGGCATTTGTGAGTCAGACGCAGTGCGTGGACAGGAGCACTCTGCTGGGTGGGGTGGTACACAAAGGCAGGTGAGGGGAAAGCGCCCTTAACCTCTGTACCCTTTGCCTCCCGACAGGCACCAGGTCCTGAACGATATACAAGCTGCTGTGTCAGGCACTGGTGACCCCAAGATAAGCCACAGCCTCTCACAGCACATACAGCAGGTGGGCAGCCCGAGGCCCCAGTGGTCTGCAGGCTCCCACGACAGGGCAGGCGTGTCGGTTGTGGAGAAGTCCACAATCCAGGGTCAACCCAGATGCTGCTAACCTGAATTCCCCAAGTGTTCTCCAAGTCCTGCTGCCTTGAGGCCACCAAGACAACCTTGAGTGAACAGGATGTCCCAGATTTTATTAGCTGAACTCTAGTTCAGTAACCTCATCCTTGAGTGTTAATCCACTCCACTGCCACTGCAACCACCCAGCCCTGTAATCTTAAGAGTTTCAGGGAAATGGAAAGTCTTGCTCTTCGTGGAAAGGTCACACTCTTGGACTTGTTATTTCCCAATGCCCCTTCTGACTCTCTTTGCTTGATTCTAATTCCTTCCTTCTCCCTATCCCCCACTGCAAAGTCAAGAGAGCATTCCTCAGGAAAGAGAAAGTGTGTGTTGGGGCGGGGCAGGGGGATAACCAAGGTGAAATGAAAAATGAGAGACATGAGAGTATAAAAAAACCTAGATACCAAGGAGTACGGGACAAATGCACTGGTCAGCAGTCATTACTGTGGACTCACGATGCTGTGGTGAGTCACCCAGGGCCGGGCACTGACATCAAACTGCCATTCTTCGTCACAGTACAGGAGGGCAAGAATCTGTGACACATGTCCCTTGCTACCCCAGCAGCAAGTGCACAGGCTATGCTGTGCCTTGGTATAAATTTATGAGCTCCTTTCCTTGTTGGCTTCACATAAATCGTGCTCTGGACCAATTAAAGAAGCCACTTCAGGACTTTGCTTCGCTGTATGGGAATGTCAGGCATGGAGAAAAATGAAGTCTCAGTTATGCATGTCTGGGGATGCTGAGCAAGGGAGTGTGCTTTTGGAACTCTGAGGTTTTTGTTATTAGTGGTGTTTTAGTGTTGGCTTCTTAAACACATCACACAAATTTCCTTAGACTGGAAGTAACTGACTGCCATGGGGAAGGCTGCAGGCCTCCCACCTCCCAGATGGTCCAACCACAATAAATGTTTGGCCTGTCAGATGCACAACACTGACGAACTAATTGAAATATGCTGCAATGAGCAAACCCCAAATAAATGCGAAATTACCGTTTCTTTACAACAACCCTCCAAACCGCTGGCACATCTGCCCGGCTCTGCTGATTAAATGTCCCTCCCCCTCCCCCTGCCCAGCGAGCTTCACTTATGTGCGGTTTTCAAAAGACTTAATGCTTTTTTTCAGTGTGATTACCCAAGTGGGGAAAAGTATAATTGCAAAAAATGTTTGGTTTTTCTCCCTCTTAAGAAAAAAATCCAAGTGAAAAGTCAACTCTTACAAAGCGTCAAGGAAAGCAATTAATGGGCCGTCAGTAGGAGAGAGGGTCCGTCCTACCCCCTGGAAGATGAAGCACACTGGACCTGCCATAAGCTCTGACTCTGGGCTGGTAGAAGCTGTTCCCTCATGGAGACAACAGGAATGGCCACCTACTTCTGCCAGACACACAGCCCTCACTGTCCCCCTCCCAACTGCACCTTTTACCTGATGCTCCCTGGGCCCTCACAAGGAGGCCAGGGGGCTGCAGAGCCTGAATCCAGTCACAGGACTAGGCTGGAAAGAGGCACGGCCTGTGAGCAGACCTGGGCAGGAGACTGATCACAGAAAAAGGCAATGAAGTCCCTCTTCAGAAGGTACTTCTCAAAGGGAAATAAAGAACCCTGGAGAAGAAAAATAGTAGTAGCCTGCAGGACTGATGTACCAATGCTTGACAGGGCACATGGAGGCACATTTTTGGAAAGGTTTAGTGTGAGAGACCCAGAAGTAAGAAGCCAGGATTGGAGGCATGGAGCCCAGGAAGCCTTACTGAGGCCTGAAACACTTAAGGAGGAAGATCATGTGTTTGGGTTGAAGGCCTGCCCTCAGCTCCTTATAGCAAGGACCAGCTCTGTCGTGGGTGGACACGGGACTGCTGACACTCCGTTGCATAGGGTCTTTCCTGTCCTGTGGGAGGGGGAGATTGGCACCACTCAGCAGGAAGCAGGCCCTTCTGGAAGAAGCTGTAGGGGGTGAAGGGAAGGTCTCCTTTCTCTAGCACCTACCACAATGAGTAATCTGAGCACTGGCCTTCATCTCTAAGCACTGGTTGAATGGCAGCGAGATGCCCTGATCTGGGCTGGACACACTGCAAGGGGATATACATGAGGTTTAAGGTGGCAGGGCTACATTAATAGTGGGTTCTGTATCTGCAGATTCATCTACTCACTAAGATTTATCTGTTCCCCCCAAATCCATGCTTATAGTGCTTTCAAGGTCATGTTCAAACTTGTGCACAAGGCAAAAAATGTGGGTCACCTGATGTGCAGGTTCCCAGCTGAGACAGAATAAGGGGACACTTTGCCTGTTTCAGCTCTTATACTGTTAACAAGTATCCTCCTGTGGCCTGTTTAATACCACCTTTTTCGCATGTCTGTGATTTTGGTTGATTCGTGTTCATTTGTTTAAAATGACCACACGCATAGTGCTAAAAGTATTGTCTAGTGCTCCTGTGTGAAGTTATGGCAGGCAGGGAAAATATGTGTTAGATCAACTTCCTTCAGGCATAAGTTACAGTGCTGTCGACCATGAGTTCAATGTTCACAAACGGATTATATATATTAAGGCAGTACTAACTCCATGTCTGACGTGACTTGAGTGAACCTATACACCTTGAATGACAAGACTCAGCAGTCTATGCATATGTGAGGCACACCATATTTTATTGACAGAGGTGCTCCACTCTACAGGGCCACCTGCTCCTATGGCTGCAGGTTAGCACATCCAACCTGGCAAGAAGCCTGAGCTGTCAGTTTCTGCTCTGAGTTCACTGTCAGCCTCAGGAGATCCCTGCTCCTTCTATCAGGTTCTACCTGCTCTACCCATGACCCCTCTGTTCTCCCTGAGCTCAATCTCTGACTGCCACACCAGGGGGAAGGGACAACATACAGGGTGAAGGCACTTACAGGAAAGCTTTGTGATGTAGGACTTCAGCCAGGAGAGAGTGATACCAACTTTTCTTTCTTTCCCCAAGGCAGTTGCTTGGGCTTTATTTTTATTGTTGCTGTTTGGTTTTTTTGAGACAGGGTGTAGCTATATAGCCCAGTTTACCTACAACTTGCAATCCTCCTGCCTCCACCTCCCAAAAGTGCTGGTCTTACAGGTGTGTGTTACCATGCTTATGGTTGCTTGAGGTTTTCATCTGTCTGTTACTGGATCCTGGCTACTAGTTAACTTCAGTTTTGTCCTCTGGCAAGGGCAATTGTGGATATGAGTAATATAAGCAAATGCCAGCCTTCCCTCCTAATAGCACTCTTTCTGCCTTTGGCCATAAAAGTTTAGCAGATTTTGTCATGGCGTTTGTTAGGCTGGGCCTAAGGAAGTCAATACCCTTGTATTTCACTATACAGGAAAAAAGGAGCTATGTAAGGGCTGTGGCCACCGCCAGCCTTGGGAGCATAAAGAAAGAGGACTAGCTGGTAATTAGGGACCTTGGTTCCAGGCTGGCAGCGTGGCCTTGAGCAACTCAGTTCTTTCTACCAGCCTCAGCCTTGCATCCCTAACAGCTCCCTCCTTGGATAAGGATTTGAAAAAGCATCACCAGGCCCCCTGCTTCAGGCTCTGGAGCAATTCTCCCCTTTCCCCTGGAAGGCCTGCTCTGGTGGGGCTATGGTGACTGTCATTGATTTAAGTCCTACACACCTTTACAGTCGCTGTGGCTAATCAGAACTGCACCATTCTTCAAATTCCACTCTTCCAGGAAGTCAGCCCTGACTGCATTACACAGAAAGGGCGCCTGCCTCTTTGAACTCTGCCTTTGAGCACCAATTATCACACACATACACACCCTGGTTTACCTGAGGAGTCACCTCTAATCACACTGTGAGTTGGCATAAGCATTAGGTGAAATGCTACTTATTGCATTCAATTCACCTATCTGTCCACTGTTTTCCATAAATGTTTTGTGATGACTTATAAAGAATATAGATAAGCCAGGTATGGGGGCCCACACCTGCAATCCCCATATTCTGGAGGCTGAGGCAGGAGGACAGTGAGTTTGAGGCCAGCCCTGGCTACATAGCAAGACCCTATCTCAGGGAAAAAAAAAAAAAAATATATATATATATATATATATGTATACACATATATACGTATATATATAGTAGATAGAGTTACACGTGAACACATATACACATACAGAGATAGACAATAAAGTAAAAATAAACATGCTGACCATGAGGCTGAGTATAAGTGCTACAAGGGATGAATACTGAATTGTATGGTGAGCATCCTGGAAGCCAAGGAGAAAAGGGAAATCCTATTAGTCAGAAAGGCTTTGTGGTATGGAAAAAGGCAGAAATGGGTACAAAACCAAGTAGACTGTGGTCAAATCAGTTGATTTCCCTGATTCTCGATTTCTTCCTCAGAAAAATGGGGAAAGAATACCATTTACCCTGAAGGGTCAGGGAGTCCTGCTTGCATACTGTGTGCTGCAGAGTGTGCAAACAATACACGTTTTCCTTCCCTGCTTTCCTTTTCATTATCAGAGGAGAAAGCAACCTAGGTCCTCAGGGACGGCCCTAAATTCTAAGTGGAATTATTTTTCATGCGAAACACTGTAAGAATCCTTTAGCTGAGGGGACACCTCACATTACCAGACAAGATTTGCCATGGCTCTATTTGATAATATGCCAGCATACCCAGAAAAACTCAATAAACATCAGCCAAATGTTCAGAGAAGCTGTGCAAAGACCACTTTAGCTGCTCAGGTGTCTGGAGGCAGGGGGTCCTGTTAAGCAGGTTTCAGGGTGGCCATCTGCACAGGGATTGAGCTCATCTGAGCAAATCTGAGACATGGTATGCAGGCAACAATGGGTCCCTCCAGACTGACTGCATGGGCAGCAACAGTGAAAGACATCAGGGCCGATCACCGTCCTCCTACTCACAAGCACACAGCCCCAACTTCTTTTCCAAAAACAGCAAGGCAGTGATCTTGACACAGCAGACATTTCCCCTTCTAATCTCTTCCAATAACTGCACATCCTCCATGACTGGCTCTTCTCAAAAACCAAGTTGTAAAGCCTTACCCGGCAGGGCTGGTTAGGAAAACATCTGCCTGTTGTTAAAACAGGCCTCCAGACAGGGAGGAAGATAATGTGCAGGAGAATTCACCACAAGGGACTGGATCTCTCACTACTGAGTCAACATTTCCCTAGGTGACTACTGCATGTTGAGGACAGAGGAAACAGGATGCAGCATCAACTGCCTCAGGGCTCATACCCTGCGGGAGCCACATGGAAACAGCAGTCATTCCTCCTGGGCAGTCAGATTAGGGTGGTGCAGAGACAGAGGGGATTGACCTCCTGGGAAGGCCAGGGAAGACAAAGTGTGTCCCCATAAGTGAAGAGGTGATAAGCACATGGGGACTTGGAAAACTTTGAAGAAGCCTCAAGACTGGAGCTTAGAGTGTGAAGAATGACACGATGATGGAGCAAAGGCAAGTAGGGTGGACAGTCCAGATCCCAAGGGCCTTGTATATGGAGAGGAGTTTTCTTTCAGATTCCATAAGGAGCAACCAAGACCAAGAAAAGCTGGAGATTTAGTGAAGTTTATATAGCAAGTTGGAGGGGAGGCCAGCCAGGGAAGGCCAGAAGAGAGAATGGCCCATGCCACACTCACCACTGGAGTACAGCCGGGCTTGGTCATCTTCATGGCAGAGAATGTGCCGTCCTAATCTCTTGGCAAGTCACTCCCTACAGGAACAGCCTTTCCTAACTCACTGTGCTCCTCTGCAGCGGGAAAGGGCTGGACATCATTCTCACCCCAGAACACAGCTCCACCCAAGAAAAAGAATTGGTTCGCCACAGTCTTGAAGCCAGACAAGAGAGGGTGGGAGGCAAACCTTAGAGGGACTCCTGTTCCATGCACAAGCTGACTGCGCACAGGGTGCTGACCAGGGCAAGCACCTGAGATGAATCAAACTCTCAGGAGCTCACAATCTACCAGGGGAGATAAGCCAGGCACAAAAGTAACCATAAAATAAGGCAGACGGTGATAAGAGCTGCACAGATAGGACACAGGACACAGTGCGGGGCTGGGGGGGGGGTTCAGGGGGAAGAGGGGCATTCAGATGAGGGTGAGGGTATTTAGCACTTTCCCCTTCACTCCTAGAGGGGGCCTACCCTACAAGTTGTGGTGCCTCTCAGATGGGGTCGAGGGGGAGTGGGGGGGGAAGCTGGCAGTGGACAAAAGAAAGACGTTCAGTTGTGGTCTCCTTTGAAGAAGCCAGATTCTGCAGAGAGAAGGCAGGGAGGCCCAGAGTTTCAGAGATAAGAGGAGATAAGAGATCGGAATCTAGGATTTCTATGCAGAAGCAGCAAATCCATACAAAAGGGACAAAGCTAGAGGCCTTGCCTTGAGATGGCATCTATGTGGCAGGCACTGTGTTTACTTGCAATATCCATCTAGGAAGGGGAGGGCGGAGTGTGCACATAGGGGAAGGAGGACATTAAAGTTTCTGTCTCCCCAAGCCACCATCAGGCCTGCCACTGATAAGGAAGGATGTGGGGTGGGTGGAAGAGGAAGCTGTGGCCCTAACAGGGAGCTGACATCTCCCAGGACAGCAGGAAAGGAGACTTGGGATGGAGAAGAGCGACACCCCAACCTTGGGCCCCAGCGCCCACCCAGCAAGCAGGGCAAGAGGGATGTCCTGCTGGCCGCTGCACGGAGCCAGCCAAAAAGCCCCGCTTCCCGCCAGCCATACCGCAGCTTTCAGCAAGAGCGGGGGTCGCTGGCGCACGCGCCGCACTGCACCCCCCCCACACACTCACACCTGCCCCTTAACCGCGGTGACACTTGTCACAGGGGGGAGGGGTACTCCACAACCCGACACCAATGGGGTCCAGCGACTCATGCCGGCGATCCCCGGGGCGGAGGTCCCGGCCGCCACGCCCGCCTCCCGCTCCTCCCCGCGCGCCGGCCCGGGTCTGCCGTGCTCCGCTCCCGCCCGCGGCGCCTCTCGGGCCCTCGGGGCACCCTCGCGGGTCCCCAGCCGCTGCCCCGGGCACTGTGGGCTCCCGCGGGCCTGGGAGGGCCGCCCGCCGCCCACAAGACACGCTCACTCACCCGCTCCCGGCCGCGCTCGTCCTCTTCGGTCGCTTGGGCCGCCGCTGCTTTACGCCGCCTCCCGGGCAGCGCGGGTCCCACGGCCCCGGCCCGGCCGCCCGCACCCCGCGGCCCCGCGCGCCCCCGTCAGCAGCCGGCCCCGGGCGAGCGTCCGGGCAGCGGCGGGCATGCTCCGGGCCGTCGGCGGGCGCGGCGGCGCACGTGCTGGCGCCGGCCGCTCCCTGCGGCGCCGCGAGCTGAGCTGAGCCGAGAGGGAAGCGGGCCGGGCCGGCTGGAGCGCTCTGAGCTGCGGCGCCGCCGTGCCCCGCGCCTCAGCGGCCGCTGCTACCCGCGCGCGCCGGCCCGGCTCGCATTCCCTCAGTGGCGGCGGCGGGCGGCGCCTCCTCAGGCCGCACGGGGGAGCGGCGGCGGCGGCGGCGGGGGCGCGTCTTTGCCCGAGTCGGGCCGGCCGCCGCCTTCGCCGGAAGAGCCCGCTCAGACTCGGGCAGCCCTCGGGCCCCGCGCCTGGCCGCCGTCGCGGCGGCATCAGTGGAAAACGAAGTTCCCCGGGAGTCAGACGACGAGGCGGGGAACAAACTGCGGTAAGAACTCGGAGGACGAGCGCAGGCCCGTCCTGGCCTCCACGTGGGCACCGGGGCCCGCGTCCCACCCCACGGACCCACGGGACCCTCGGGGCCAAGTGTGGTGTGAGGGTGGAAGGAAAACGCTAACCGTGTAGGCTGAGCAAGGGCAGACCTGTTGCGGTGGCCCGCCAGTCCCCTGCAAGGGCGAGGGCGAGTCCAAACCCCGAGGCCCGAGCCGTGCCCTTGAACAGCCGGGGTCGCGGGACACGAGGCCGCCATCTCCTCCGCACAGGACGTGACCCCGGCTCCTCCCGAGGGCCCCAAAACACCCTCTGGAGCACGTGGGGTCCCCGCCCTGGCAGCAGTCGGCACCGAGTTCCCGGACGCCGAGGACACCGTCCACCGGCGTTCGCGCGACTGCACGCAAACCAGGTCACCCCAAAGAACCCGCGTGGCGGTAGCGCTCGCCAGCAGCGTGAGCACAGCAGGCCACGGCGTTCACCCACGAGTTTTATTGTACGCCCACGTGCAAGAGTGACGGCGAGGTCCCTGCGCTCTCACGGCGCTCACAGCCGACCTGAAACCCGCACCTCGCGGCTGGACGCACCGCAGAGCACCCGCCTCCGCCCCCAGCCACGGCCACGGCACGGCACGGCACGCAGAGCGCGGCGGCGCAGACTGATGGCTGTCCTGAAATCAAGGACAAATGTGACAGCCACGCTTAGAGACGTCACGCAGGTCCCAGCTCCGCGGTTGGAGTTTAACTCATCACCAGGCCACCATAGCGCTCTTGGCACGGCAAGAAATTTCCAGCAAAACGTGTGCAGTATTTTCAGTTTAATCAGACCTGCAAATCTCAACTATACACGATCCACTCAGGACAGACAGACAAACATGTTTCCTTTACGATCCCTAAGGGGCTCCAGGTGTACTTACTTTTAAGATCCTTAAAGACTTGTAGCACATTAGAATTTAGTGAAGCTGGGTGCCCGTAATCCTAGCTACTCAGATCAGGAGGACCGTGACTTAAAGCCAGCCCAGGGAAATACTTCGAGACCCTAGGAGAAAAAAACCATCCCAAAAAAAAGGGCTGGTGGCGTGGCTCAAGGTGCAGGCCCTGAGTTCAAACCCCAGTACTGGAAAAAAAAAAAAAAAGCAAAAACTGCTGTTGAGACATCTAAAAATTAAACTGAGGAAAATGTCTAATTTTACCACAAACATAGGTACAGGGTTCAGAATTCAAATAGCACTCAACAAAACAGCTGGCTTTGGGGGGGCGGTTTAAACATCCAACTCAAAATCTCTGTATAAAAGTAATTGCCAATACAGGCATTTCACGTGCTCCTGCTTCACAGGCCATCCCCTTGAGAGGTCTACTCATCCAACATCTGAAGAAAAAATTTTTATTAAACTGGCAATAAACTTTTAGAAAAACAGCCTATGTTTCTATCAAATAATTCCCAAATCACCAATTAAGATCAAAGTGCTTTCTGAACTTACATTTAACAGGTTACCATTTCAAAATAAATTTAGCCCAAAACAACAACAAAAAGATCTCACCAGAGGGAAACTTATTTAAACTCCCAAGTTTTTATGCCGAACAGACAGACCTTAGACCACCTAACAGAAAGTATCAACCCAATGTGGTTTTTAGGTCAACTGGAACAAAATCCTCCGTTTGAAAACAAAATCACTATCTCAAAAGCCTAGTAACTCATAATGAATCCAAAACGTACTGTTTATTGCACTTACTAAGCACCAGGCACTTGGCATAATCTCCCTTAATAAAGGAATCTTATCCTTTGGTCTTATCACAGCTGAGAAAAGCAGACCTGTGCCACGGTGTGACCAGGACTGCGTGGCTCCAAATCTCCCCTCTGTGGTCCCCTGCCCAGCCGTGCGCTGCCCTGGTATGGCTGCTTTGGCTTCAGTGCTATTGCTTCAGCAGGAGAGGCCCCTAAGAGAGATGCTGTGTAAGGGGAAGGACAGAGCAGGTGTAGGTGGAGAGTTCACTTCCATTTGCATTTTAAAAGGAACTTCCACAGGTGGGAGATTCACTTGGGTTTTTTACTAGCTGCAGCATAGCCCAGCACAAGAACAGTTTACCTCTCTGGGGTAGTGAATGCTCGTTAAGATTGCTACCTTTCCCAATTTTAGGTTGAGTTGCTTTTCAGTCAAGTGTTCGTAAGATAAGCACTACCAAAGGGAAGAGCTGGAAGAATTTTCCTTGGTTTCCCCTTCACAGCTATAAAGAAAAAAAGAATAGTTTTTCTTTTTTAAATAAGTAACTGATAGTTCCAATCTAGTAATCAAAGCATATGCTTTCCGAAAGGCACAGAAGATGTGTTGATGGAGCTTAATACCTTTTTTGGAATAAGCCAATTATAGGCTACGAAGAAGATAACTCCTTGGCAAGATAAAACTTTTCTTTTGAAATGGCAATTTCCTTATTAAGAATATACTAGACTTTACAATAAAATTAGGGAACAAAGAAATGTCTAACCATGTTCAAATTAGTTTTGAATGTCACAAACAGGAGCACATAAAGGAAATGCCACCAGTAAACTCAATCTCTTCACAAGGTCAGATACAAACTGTAAGGGAGTTTCATTAAATAAACTTCACTGTAAGTAGGAGATATTTTTAAGGGCTAGGAAAAAAGTCAAGGATAAAGGCACTTGATTCTATTGATAATTCTGAAATTAATTCTGGTTAGCTAAAAGTCTTCAACTGGTTGTAGAAGGTGTGTGCAAAAGTTCAGTTTTGTCCCAACGATTCTCTTCCTGGCTGAGAATTACCCCAAGGGCCCCCAGGCCTGGAAATCAGCCAGATGAAGCTTTGGTGAAAGGTGTTCAAAGATCACCTGAGAACTTGCTGGAAGGTATATACAAACTCTTAATGGAATGACTCGGGTTGGTTTGGTTCATTGTAATTACATATTAAGAGTCACATAAGGGAAAAAAACCTCAAAAGCAAATCAAAATTTAAAACCTGAGCATTGTGAATGGGAATCGGTTCTGAGGAATTATATGAGTCTGTTTATCAATGTGTGCCAACCTCCAATATCTAGGCACTGGGGTCTGACTGGCCACCAAAAAGTGGGTGGGGTGAGCAGCAGGAATCTCCCCAACAATCCCAACACAGACCTGCTACAGTACTTAATGATCCTTGATCAGAGCAGCACTTCCTGCCCACACGCAGCTCTAACAGTCAGGAGGTACTGCTCAGGCAGTGGGCCACAGCCCCTTCGCCAGGGCAAGGCCTCAGACTCTAAATACATTCCCTGTCCATTAACAGGCAGAATACATTGTTCTGACCTAAAACCTAGTGTTACTTACAGCACCTATGATGCAAGTACTTATTTTTCATTTTGGCAAGGGTGGAGGAGGTGGGTCAGGGTTAGGAGGCTGAAAATGTTTGGATGTCAACTTTAACTGGTGGTTAAAGCCAGGCACCTGAAGGAAACCAGGGCTTCTTTGGTTTCTCAGTGGCTGTGTGGCATTAATGCTTCGTCCATCCACTTGGTGTCCAGAGTGGGACACAAGTTACACTCAGAACGATGACAGAGAGCTACAGCTCTCCAGTTGTTTAATTTTTTGAAAGTACTACATATAAAATTAAATGAAAGAATTATATCTCATTTTTTTTCTTTCCTTATAAACAATGCAGTTGTAGGGAAATGAGTTATATTGATGCAGCTTTCAAAACTCTCCAGTAGTCCATTATCACTATTCTGATGTTCACTCTGTGAAGTATGTTTCAAATAGGAATTGCATTATGTTTTTAAAACCTCTAGGGAACTGAAATCCAACGTACGCTATAATTTAATAGTTAGCATGTATTAGTCTATCATTATGGAAGCACTTATTTTTAAAAATGAGTTCTATTTACAACATAGAATAAGTTTATAAAACTGGTGTGCGAAGTTCATCGTAAAAGGATAACACTATTTCTTTAAACAAACTGCCTCCCTGTTTACTTCTCCTTATTCTGAATATAAATTGATGACATATACTATTTAAAAATAATGTTTTTTAAATAGTAAAATATACAAGAGATTCCTGAGCATAACAAAAATTTCTTGAAAATATGTGGCCATTTGAAGTATAAAATAGCTAGTGTAAGAATAGCATGATTGTAAAACTACTGTTAAAGGCTTATAAACAGTACAAAACAGCTTGCTTTTCTGAGTGCATAATTATACATTAGTGCAAACAAAATGTCTCAAATTTAATGGCTACAAATCTCAAAGATTTGCAGAGGTGCGCAAAACATGGAACTTCTTCAGCGTCATGCGGACGGAGCCCAGCTCTCGGTTAATCTTTTCCAAACGATCTTCCAAGGCTTCCTAGGTAAAAATAATGGGAAGGGGTAATGAGAATTCCACATCAAGTTCATTGGTTTTCTGATTCTATAATTACCAACAAACTGATCTTTTGCTTTCTACACAAGTCTTCCTTCCTTCTTCCTTCCCTCCCTTCCTGGAATTGAACTGGGCCTTACTCATGTAAGTCAAGAGCTCCACCAATTGAGCTCCACCCATAGCTGTTATTTCTTTTAAACTCAACAATGTGAATCAGCTTCTCAACTCTTCAAAGTTATTACTATATTTTAAAATATTCTTGTGTTTTTTGGGGTTTTTTTTGGTATTGGGCTTTGAAGTCAAGGTTTCGTACTTGCTAGGTTGGCGCTCTACCACTTGAGCTGCTCCTCCAGTCCTTTACTGAGTTGTGTATTCTTGACATAAGGTCTCACTTTTTTCCTGGACTGGCCTCAACCCTCGATCTTCCTGATCTCTGCCTCCTGACTAGCTAAGATTACAGTTGTGAGACACCAGATACCAGTGTATGACTTTAAAATTTTCTTTTAAGTTATTGTGCTGGGTGGGGGTACATTGTGGAATTTACAAAAGTTCTTACAATATAGCAAACATATCATATTTGAATTCACCCTTCTCCTTTTCCTCCTCCTCCCTAAAATTTTCTTAATGTTTGGCAAATTCAGTATATGGAAATTCTAGCTGGGCATAGTGAATTACACCTATAATCTCAGCTAAAAGAGAGGAATATAGGATCACAGTCCAAGGCTGGCCCTGGGCAAAAACTTGAGAACCTATCCAAAAGATAACTAAAGTAAAAAAAAGGTCCGGGGCATGGCTCTGACAGTAGATTGCCTCCTTAGAAAGTGTGAAGCCCTGAGTTCAACGCCCCCCTCCCCTGCCAAAAGTAAATTCTAGAAATAGCAAAACAACCAACTGAAGGGGATGAGTCTTTGACTGAAGAGCTAAACGCAGTCCAAGAGTCAAGAAAGCACTCAACACAATTGATCAGAAGAAAGGGACACATGCATCAGGCTGTATCCTGTTCATACATATATCACACAACTTTTCTTCTGATGAAAATTTCTAAGCTAAAAAAGAAAAAAAGGACGGGGGGGGGGGGGGGAGGTGTGCTCAAGTGGTAGAGTGCCTGCCTAGCAAGTGCAAGGCCCTAAGTTCAAACTCCAGTATCTCAAAAAGGAAAAAACACTAGAGGAGACTTCTCACAAAAAAAAAGATTTTCACAATTACAATGAATAACACTAGTTATTAGTACCATTACTAATTACTAATTACTAGTTATTAGTACCATTAGTATCATTTTTAGATACTTTGCCTCAGTATTGACTCAATGGTAGGTATCCTGAAATAAAACTTAAAATTTTATCTTTGACAACTTTAACTGTAAAATGATTGTTATAGAATATTTTGAAGATAAGCAAAAAGAAATAATCATTATTCCCCGTTCCTATTTCCCCTTTTTTAAAAAGAACAATAAAAACAAAATCAAATTATATTTTAGGCTTGTGTGATGTCTTACACCTATAAATCCCAGCTACTTGGACTGCAGTTTAAAGCCGGCCTGGACAAAAAGTTAGCCAGGTCCCATCTCAATCAATAAGCCAGGCATGGTGGTCTGTGATCCCAGTGAGGATCATGGTCCAGAGCCAAGCAAAAACATGAGACAGTACCTGAAGAATAAGTAAAGCAAAGAGGATGTGGGGTGTGATTCAAGTGGGTAGGTTCTCGGAGGTACTGTTTTGAGATGGGGTCTTGCTGTGTAGCTCAGGTTCTTCTCAAACTCAGTCCTCCTGCCTCATCTCCCCACTGTTGGGATTACAGACATGCACACTACCACAACTCAGCTGGGAATTACTTTTTAAAAATACCTGCTAGTTGGGTACTGTTGGCTCACACCTGTAATCCTAGTTACTTGGATGGCTGAGACCAAGAGGATCAAGATTCTAGGCCAGCCTGGGCAAATAGTTCTCACGACCCCCATCTCCAAAATATCGGAGCAAAATGGACTAGAGGTGTGGCTCAAGTGGTAGAGCACCTGCTTTCCAAGTACAAAGCCGAGTTCAAACCCCAGCCACACAAAAAATTTAAAATTTTTAAAGATGATGCCTTGTTTAAGTGTGTATCTTTCTTATTCAACAGTGAGGCTGAACCTTTTTATTTATTCATTGGTGTTAGGAAGCAAACTCAGGGCCTCATGCATGCTAGGCAAATGCTCTAACACTGTGCTATACCCTCAGCTTGAGGCTGAACATTTTGGATCTTCTTTTTGCTCGGCTCGGTTTTACTTTTTCACTTATAAATTACATATGATTATCCCTAGTCTCTTTTTTTCTGCCATGTTTTCTCCAAAGATTGAAGCAACACTGATATATATGAATAGAAATTACTGTCCTTTAAAAAGTCTTATAAGAGCTAGAAAAGAGTTTCATGTGTTAAATCTTATAAATTATTCAATTAAACAATTTCAGGCTGGGCATCAATGACTCACACCTAGAATCCTAGTTACTCAGGAGGCAGAGATCGAGGATCTCAGCTCAAAGCCAACCCAGGTAAAAAGTTGACAAAACCCTATCTCGAAAATACCCATCACAAAAAGGGCTGGAGGAGAGGCTCAAGGTGAAGGCCCTGAGTTCAAGCCCCACTACACCAAAAAAAATAAATAAATGGGAAAAAATTCAGAACAAAGACAATACAAAGACTTAAAGTCACAGAAAAAGGAAGGTAGGATACAGGTCCTGAAAGAGCTCTCTGCGATTTTCTTGGATCGTTCTGATACTACAGTATGAAAATGAACTTTAGCTGAAGTTAAGACACTGAAAATCCTGAAGAAATGTATTTGCTGTTATGTTTAAAATGTTACTAAAACAGCAGATTTAAAATGTCCTATGGTTGGGTGCATTTTAATTCTTTTTGAAAAGGTACTAAAAGAAATGCACGCAGGCCATATCACCTGCGCCACCTCCTGCTCAGTTCTGGAACTGCATCTCTCTCTAGTGTGGGGATTTGTTGTTTCTAATCTCTACAGCCATTCCAGTTACAAAGTACAACTGTTTCACAACAGTTAGTTGTACTAAATGGAAAGGGTACAGAAATAAATGTCAGATGAGGGAGGTGATTAACTTAACAATGTTCAGATCTCACACACACACACACACACAAACACACTGGTAGTTTACTCAGAATATAATGACATGAACATCATTTTCTTGAGGTCTAAAGATAAAATCAGTTTTTATTCCTGAAAGCTAGCATGCAGTTATCAAATAACTCGCCAAACACTTCGTGTAAAGCTGAAAGTTTTGGCCTCTGCTTCAGTATGCCATGGCTCTAAGAACTCTTGTCAATCAGTGGAGCACTGACCCAGTGAGCTTCTATAGTGATTCAGGCTAAGCTGTTTCACCTGGTTTAATCGTGTCTGTAATGTGATTCTTCCTCCAGGAGAAGGCATTCGGCTTAGTGCTGCCTCAATCTGTTAACACAAGAAAATTTTCAAATAAAAACAAAAACATTCTAATCATTGGAAGGGAGGCTTATGACACAGAAATGGAAAGAAAAGATTTCAGACTAGCATTTTCTTATCCATTTTAACTTAATGTAAGATGGTACCCGGTTAACTCCCTGAACAGCTTTGATTCAATAATTCCCTTTTGACTATTCCCTAGACATAAGCATTAAGTTCAGAAAAAGATTTTTAAAATATTTTTGTTTGTTTTACCTGGTCCTTTTCTTTTGTAAGTTCATCAAAAAATCGTTCCGTTTCAGCTAGGGTCCTAATTTTTGCTGTATATTCAAAATCATTACCCTGTGGTGTTACTGAAACAGGCTTACACTGTTCATAGCTAACTGATTTATTCTTCTCCCAGGCTGGTCTCACAGACACTTTCTTCACTCCATTTGGCAAGGGTTCTGAGCAAGAGTTATGATTAACATGGTCATCGTTGGCTTTTTCTGAATATTTTTTTTCTGTCAGAGAAGAAAGAAATTTCTTATATTTCTTTTCAATTTATTCCAATAGACTGTATACATATTAAATATGTTGCTCAACTTCACCTTCTTGAAATACTTGGTATGTGTCCAAAAAGTAATGAGCAAAGATATAAAAACAAATCATATTTACTCAGGGCTTTTTCTCTAAAGAATCTAAAAGCTTTGCCCCTCACAACTTTCCTAATGATTGTAAGTAAACTTTATGTAAATGTAGTTGAACTTTAAATAAGAAAAAAAAAAAAAAAAAAAACCCGAAGCCTAAAAACTGAATGACTCATCACGTATAATGGATATACACTAACACTAAACAGTTAACATTGTGAGGGCCTGCCCAAGTAATTTTATGTATGTTATCTCTTGTAACTTTATTCCAAACCTAAAATATAAATGGAAAAATTACCCAAAGCCTAAGTTGCTTATAAATATAGAGTATAAAAGTAAATAAAATTACTGAACAACATAGCCCTGGTAATTAAACATTAATGTTTGCCGTAACTCAATTTCCCAACTTTTCACTGAGGAAAACAACGCTGACATAATAATATGAAGCATCATGAATATATCTTTAGAACCTTGAAAGATTCCAGAATCTCAAACAATGAATGACTATAACCATAGCTAATGCTTTTCTTAGGGAAAGATACCTTCTGAGTCATCTAGAGGAAGAAACTGGAGCTGCTTTCTTGGATTGGCTCGTTGTAATGTAGACACAGGAACAGTATCTAAATCATCCAAAAGTATATCAAATCTATTGAATGAAGCAAGTTACTTGTGAGAAAAAAATGTTAACTGATTTTCCCTATCTGCACTAGAAAGATGAGTTGGCATCCAGGGAACTCATGTATTTACATATTCTCTTAAAAGAAAGATGGTCATATATTTTTCTAAAACTGAATTTAATGTCTATTTAATAACACAAAATTATTTTTACATACTAGAGACCTAAAGCACTTACCAAGATATTATGTCATTGGATCTTTTTAACAAGCTTTTGGATTAGAAGGGGAAACGGATGCTCAGTGTGCTTCACAGAGCACCCAAGAGCCTGAGGGAGTGGGTCTAGAGCAAAGAGGCAACTTCCTTCACACCACAGCACACACTGCTGCCCACTCAGAGAGGACCATTGTCTCAGCAGCAGGAAAACTTGCATCTGGTGCCACAGCCATATCTGAGCAGCCCACTTTTTCACCCAGTGTTTCCCTGTATCGTAAATCCTTCAAGACAAGAACTATCACTCTCTATCTTAAAAGCTGAATGGGGTGCTGAGACAGTACTGAAAATCTAGTAGCAAGTTAACATAGTTAAAAGACTGTTTTCATGTTTTATCATACTTTATTACAATATTCACATAAAATATGTATTAAATTCACTGATAACTGAAAAATCAGTGGTAGCTATACATAAGTCAACATTTAAGAAATTAATAATGTATTCTATAATTTTAGAGAACTTACCGAATTGGATTGCTTTCATTTTTGCTAAGTAGATGACTAAATCCTGGGGACAAATTTTCTTTAGGGGATCGCTTTGGACTATAAGCCACAGTCACTGGTGTTAACATAATCTCCCTTTTTGCTGAAAAAGAAAGTAAAGAAGAAATATTCTTTTCCTTCTGCCTATGTTTATTGGCAGAACAGAGACTTTCAGTAGGGAATTTTTTCCTAATTTTAAAAGTAATATAATTTCATCATAAAACTTTGAAAGATAAATAAGAATATACAAACTAAAAACAAAATAACCCATAATCCTAACATCTAGAAGTAGCTAATCCTGATGATGTTTTAGTATACCAGCACTCTGAATCAAAACTGGTTTTTCAAGATTTTAGAAGTCAACTGGAAATAAGATGGAAACCCCAGTGCAGTAGTGAACACTCCCATAACACAGGAAATACAGAATCTCTTCAGCTAGTGTAAAACAACACTGAGGAGCTGGAAGTGTAGCTCGGGTTGTATAGGCCTGAGTTCAAACCCCAATACTGCCAAAATTAAAAAAAAAAAAAAGCAATAAAGGACACCAAAGACACACAAATTCAATGCTTAAACTTTAAAACAAACACATAACTGCAAAAAAAGAAAAGGTGACTGATACAGAGCAACACAGGTCAAATATATAAAAAGGATCTTTTCTTTTTGGACTAGTATGAATTATTTGAATTATGTTTAATTAATGGCTGTCTAATCTCAAGCCTTTTAAGTGGTATTCATTGCAAACAATTTACTGGACACAAAAACGTCTGAGTAATAAACTCAGATTTCTTAAGTTATATTTATCATATCTGTGCAATCAGTTTTCTCACGGAAGGAGACCCTGTGCTCAGGGTCTCATATGGGTTTTATATAGGGACCCTGTGCTTCATTGGTACTCTACTAAGTAATAGGGAGAGCACAAGAGAAACAGGAAACAGACAGTACATGACTCATACTTCACTCCCCAGCCCAAGCTGTAACACATCTGTCTAAGTCTTACTTGGAGTACTGGATTTACGATTTGAAGGTGGTAAAGATGATGATCTCTGTGAGGCAGAATTCTGTCTCTTTTGTCTCTGTTGGGCACATTTCTCTGGGGAACGACTTGCATTGACGGAAGATTCAGTTTGCTGAGGATTCACTAATTCTGTATCAGACAAATGCAAAAGAGAGAAAAGAAAAACTCAAAACAAGCCTGGCTTCAGTTATCTACCTTTATTACAGATGTCACACGGCACAAGGTTCTCCACTGAGTGTACACTCCACTCAGAGCACTTCTTCTCACCATCTAGGTGGTAAAAGTTATTTGTCAGTGTACCATGCTAAGACAAAAAAATGCTTGATGAAGGAAAATGTGGGAGTTTACAATGAATTTATAATGAATTCATTCTGGCTTCCTGTTTTACAACTGGCATTCAAGGTGATTTTTCAGAAGAGTTTATTTTTAGAAAGCAGGTTACTATTTATTTACTAGGAGACACTGCTGTGGAGATGCAACACCAAGAAGTCGAGAATGTGACTGGCAGGTCTGAGAGCAAGAAAGCACAGTAGGAAGTAAAAGGAGAGAAAAGTACTATTGAGCTGTACCTTTGAAAAAAATACAGCATTACACATACTTCTCTTTAAACCCCAGTACTGAAAACAAAACAAAAGAGTGGTGCTGGCATGCCCATAATTCTAGCACTTGGGAGGCTGAGACAAGAGAATTGCAAGTTTGACGCCAACCTGGGCTACAATAGTGAGTTTGAGGCTAAGCAAGGATATATGATGAGACTCTATCTCAAAACACCAAAATAAATAAATGTACTTCTCTTCCTCTCTACAGATGTTCAGTAACCAAGAAAGAGAAGTAGGAAAAGTTACTCCTTGCTTTATGAACATCTGTCACAACATTCTAATATTGCAAATGAAATAACTGATGCAAATGTTTTTAAAGTATTTTTAAGAATGTCATGTGTTGGGCACCGGTGGCTCACGCCTATAATCCTAGCTACTCAAGAGGCAGAGATCAGGAGAATCAAGGTTTGAAGCCAACCTGGGGAAAATAGTTCCCAAGACCTTATCTCAAAAATATCCAACACAAAACAGGATGGAGGAGTGGGTCATGGTTCAAGTAGTAAGAGCATATGCCTAGCAAGTGTGAGGCAAGGCCCTGAGTTTTCAAGACCCAGTTAAAAAAAAAAAAAAAAAAAAAAGTCATGTAAGCTTTTTTTTAGGGGGCAGTATTTTTTTGGCAGTACTAGGGTTTAAATTCAGGATCTTACACTTGCTAGGCAGATGCTTTACCATTTGAGCCATGCTCCCAATCCTTTTTTTGGTTTTAGTTATTTTTTTAATAGAGTCTTGCATTTATGCCTGGACCTCTTATTTATACTGCCTGCTTAGCTGGGATGTTTTATTGGTTGAAATGGGATCTCATGGATTTTTTCCCTGGGCTGGTGCTGTGAGCTGTGTTCCTCCCAATCTTTGCCTCCTAAGTAGCTAGGATAATATGAGCCACCCCACCTGGTCCAGGTAAGCCTTTTTAATAATCAGAACATAACATGGAATTTGCGTATAGTATATAAAAGGTACATGTTATGCCAGGACTGTGATAAATTAGGGGATTCAATTATCTATGAAATGGGACTGAAATGATAAGTTTCATAAATTAAACTTCATTGTATTACATGAGAAATTAAATTTTTTTGGTGATAGGATCTCACTAATGCAACCCAGGCTGGCCTTGAACTTGCAATCCTCCTGCCTCAGCTTCCCAAGTCCCTGGATTACAGGTGTGTGACACCACACCTGGTGAGGAATTTAATTTTCAAGAAAGTAATGTAATAGGGAAAGAGAAAATACCGGTAGCTGTCTACATGAAATAAGGCATAAAGGATGGAGGCACTGCTCAAGCTGGAGGCCGTGAAATTAATCCCCATTACCTCCAAAAAAAACCCAAGAAAAACAGAAGTAAAAATACTTACTACTTGAGGTGTCTTCTTTCTCTGTCTGTGTCCCCCAGTTTTTAAATATTCTTTCTTCATCAAGTTCTTTTAAAGCTTTCATGATTGGTGTGTCTGGAATCTCTCTCTGTCCTTTAATCAATAGGCTTGTTGGTGTATTTCCAGGTGAAGAATCCTTTTCTGGAGGAGAATGGTACCTTAAATGATAATAATATCTGTTAAGTGCGATGGATTGAATATCTCTATGTCCCCCACCTGATTAATGAAGAGGCTGAAGTCCCAGTCTGCTGGGATGTTATTTGGAAGCAGGGCCTTTGCAAGGAAATTAGAGTAGAGAGAGGAACTCCCACGATGGGAATAATGTCCTTATAAAAAGAGGAAGAAACAGCACTATCTGTTTCCAATGACAATGACAAGCCATGTGAGGTCTCACTCAGCCAGACACTGGTGGCTCACACCTGCAATCCTCACTCCTTGGGAGGCTGAGATCAGAAGGATCATGGACAAGAAGTTTGCAAGACCCAATCTGGCAAAAAGCAAGACCCTATCTAACCACAGGGCTGCCCAGCAAGCGGAAAGCCCTGAGTTCAAACGCAGTACCACCATCTCCCCCGCCAAAAAAAACCCCAAAAAACAAAAACCACCCTCTCCAAGACACTATATCCAGTCTCCAGAACTGAAGAAATTAAAGTCTGATGCTCATTACAGCAAACCAAGCTAAGACACACATTTTACTAGGATTGTTAGGGGAATAACAGGAGAGTTGACAATTATCCTCACAATGATATGAATCCTTTACAATGCAAATAATTAAAACTGAACTGCATACAGTAAATCTGTTCTTCCCAATCCTTTTAACATGCTAGCACATACAGAAATATTCTATTTGAGCCAGGTGTGATGGCACACAACTACAGTTCCAGCACTCAGGAGGCAAAGGCGGGATGATTGTAAGGCTAGCTTGTGCTATACAGGGAGAATGTCTCAAAAAGCCAAGGGCTAGGAGTAGAGCTCAGTGGTAGAGTGTTTGCCTAGCATACGCAGTGCCTTGGGTTCAATCTCCAACGCTGAGAAAAAAGGTAAAAGAAAGAATTAGGACCTCAAAATTAAGTAAAGAACCAAAGAGCCAAGGCACAGTGACTCAAACCTATAAGACCAGCACTGAGGAGACTAAGGCAGGAGGATCGTGAGTTCAAGGCCAGCTTAGGCAACATAGCAAGTTAGTAAGACCCTGTAACAAACCACCAGAAAAATAAAAAAAACATAGTTCTTGGGTTGGGAATGTGGCTCAGTGGTAGAGCACTTGCTGGACATGCTCAAGCCCTGGGTTTGATTCCCAGCTCGGTAACAAACAACAACGAAAAACTCGAAATGGCTTTTTGTATCTTTTTTGAACATTTAAAGGCAAGTGAAGGCCGGGCACTGGTGTCTCACACCTGTAATCCTACCTACTCAGGAGGCAGAGATCAGGAGATTCGAGGTTTGAAGCCAGCACAGGCAGATACTTGGTGAGACCCTGTCTTGAAAAAAAACCCATCACAAAAAAGGGGCTGGTGGAATGGCTCAAGGTGCAGGCCCTGATTTCAAAGCCTAGTACCACAAAAAAACAAACAAATAGATAAATAAATAAATAAAGGCAACTGAATCTCTAAGAAAATCTAACATTTCTAAGTAAGACTCTCTGGCAGTTACCTTACCCAGGAACATGGGTTTCCTCCAGCTGGTTATTCACCTTCTTGTCCTGGATGTCCAGAGGCTGGCCAGTAAAGATGGAATACTCTGCACCTGGTATCAGCCACTTCCGCCTGCTGACATCTGAGGTTGCTAGCGTGCTATTAGAATGAGAAATGTTCCAATGTGTTGTAAGGCTCGCACTTCAATTTAGACAGCAAACGCACGTTAAAACAACCTGCTTTTAAGTAGTATTTACCTATCTGCACAGTGACTTAAAAACTATAAGGAGGCATGGCTCAAGCAGTAGAGAACCTGCCTAGTAAGCACAAAGCCCTGAGTTTAAATCCCAGTACTGCTTAAAAAAAAAAGGAAAACTGCATATAATAATCTATACTTTAAATACGTGAATAGTATTTTAAGTTTTAAGAATCAACTGAACTTCTGAATGTGGCCTAATTACAGTCATGATATTCAGGTACTCACAGCTTGCCACAGCCCTCCAGCATACTCCACACCTTTATTACCCCTGCAGCAGCTCAGGTAAGGAGATGAAGAAGGGCTGCCCTTTGTGTTCCTTCAGACCATTGCTGAAGAAGCCAGCAGAATGTTCTGCAAAAGCAGAAGCTACCGCATTGTCTGGCACAGCAGACACAAGGGCAGCTGCTTCTGAACGCCTGGAAAGTGCTGTCCAGACTAACAAGTCAATTTAAAATGCTTATCTTAACTGACTTCAAGTCACATGTATGTGCCATCAGCACAGTGCTATACTGCCACTCCTCTAGGTTTCTATGGAAACACTGCTCACCCCATCACATTAGACTTTGAACCTGTCTCATCTTCTCTATAGATACACTGCTGTTGTGAGAACAGACAACTTCAGGAGCCGTCCTTGACTTCTGTCCAATAACATGAATCCTCAGTTGTCCACCCTGGAAGATACATCTGGACTCTGTCGTCAGCAGAGACCACAGCCTCTTCCTCTCTGCTCCCTTTCACAGCCAGACTTAAAGAGTTGCCTCTCATCTATTTTCACTTCAACTCTGTCACTCTTTTGTCAAAAAGGTTCAAACCTGAAATCCTAGCTACTCAGGAGGCAGAGATCAGGAGGATCACAGTTTGTGGTCAGCCTGAGAAAATAGTTCCTGAGACCCTATCTTGAAAAAAATCCATCACAAAAAAGGAAAAAATGGGTTTTTTTGAGGTTCCAGAGACTAAACGCAGGTCCTCATGCATGCTAAGTACACTGAGGTACATCTCCAACCCTTCTTCTTCAGTTTTTAAAATTAAGAAGTATTTCAAACACGATGCCACTTTTCCTACCCAACACTATGTTTGTGATGTATTCATGTTAATATGTATAGCTTTATCATTTAATAATCTATCCACAATATGAACACAAACTATCCTTTCTCCTGGTGATGCATATTTAGTTTCTAATATGTTCAACAATGGCACAATTAACATATGTAAGAATTTACCTAAAGTTGGTATCTAAAAACAGAACTGTGGAGTTTTGGGTGTACCCATAGTCTTCAGTCATTCTGGCTATTGCCAAATCACTCTCCAGACAGGTTGAGCCAACCCCAGTCAATATGAGTTCCTATTTCTTTACATCTTTGCCAAACTTTGGAATGATCAGATTTTAAGTTTGGCCTGCGTAGTGGTTTGAATGATATTGTTATTGTTTTTGTTGTTGTTTTGTGGTACTGGGGACTGAACCCAAGGCCATGCACTCGCTAGGCAAGTGCTCTTGAGCCAGACCCCATAGTTGTTCTACACTCTCCCTTTCTTGACAACCAATTCCCAACCACATTCTGTGGTCTCTGCACCTCCCCTCGTGGTGCACTGCCAATCTAGTCTCCTTGCTCCCCCTCTCTCCTTCTCCACATTTTCCTCACGGTAGGAGTGTTTAAAAGTCAGACAACATGTTTTTACCATACAAAGCTTCCAAAAGGTTTCTCGATGGGTTTAAAGTAAACTCCCAGCTCCTGACTCTGACTTCTAAGCCATATGACCAATCTATGATTTCACCTAGGGCTACTTTTATTCTTGCTGTAACTATGCAAGTCACACTAGCTCCTCAGTTCTTCAAACATGCTAAGCCCTTACTTAGCAAGGATGATTATTCTGCCTAGACCATCCCAATGGACCACCCCTCCATATCTTTTGCTCCAACAACTCCACACCATTTACTTATCTGCTTACATGTCATCCCCACACACAAAAAGTCCTCTACAGCTGACAATCTTAGGCTCCTTTTGTTCTCTCTCAAATACTCAATTTCAGTTTTTTACCTCATTTTTCCTTTTTTTTTTTGATTTGGAAGTACTAGGATTTGAACTCAGGGCCTTGTATTTGCCAAGCAGAAGCAAACACTCTACCACATGACCACAGCTCTTTTTGCTTTTGTTATTTTCCAAATAGAGTTTTGCATTTATGCCCAGGTGAGCTGGGGCCAAGAGTCTCCTTATTTACACTTTCTGTCCACATGCCATGTGCCCACTTTATTAGTTGAAACGTGGTTTTGCTAACTTTTTGCCTGGGCTGGCCTCTAACTGCAATCCTCCTAATCTCTGCCTCCTGAGAAGCTAGGATTACCAGCACGAGCCACAACATCAGGCATAATACTTCCTTTAAATAAAAGAACTATATTCTACTAGGATTGATTAATTAAAGATCTAGGAAGTTTCTCATATAACAAACTTAAAAGGGTGGTATCACAATTAAAAATTTCTGATAAACATCAATATTATGAAGTAATAATCTCATTAGTACTATTTGTACTGTCATAAAACCACTTTCCAACATAAAAAACCTTTTTTTTTCCTGTAAACATGTTACCAAGATAATGCTCTGAGATTATCCAAAACTAACTGTGAAGAAACTAAAAAAACAAAAAAGAAAAACATACAACCGAATGCAGATGCATCTTCATAGGTCTTTCCAGTAACATAAGAACAGTATGTCTGGAATTTCGGCTCTAAAAGACTTTTTGAGATGTTCTACCCAGTGTCCTTGTTTTCACAGATAATAAAACTAAGCTACCAAGAATGTATGTGATCAGTCTAAGGTTACACAGCTGGACAGTCAACAACAAAATACATTCCCAATTTCCTTATTCTTAACCTGATTTTACCATTTCCTCAACTTTGGCAAATGTCTCTAGATATGAACATGAAGGAGATCCAATAATTCATTTTTTTGTCAAGCAAAATACTTTAATTAGTAAGCTGATCATAAATAAATCCACATTAAAGATTTAACAGAATTATGAAGAGTTTTGTGTTTCTTTTGTAGACTCAATTCATAATATGCATTAGTCAACCTCATTCTCTGTGACAAAAAAAAGAGTTGTCATCCAACAGTGTAGCACAGTTTAAGCAATTCATATTTTGTAGTTACATTTTTATCCAATAATTAATGTTTTAATTCTTCTCTAAGTTCTAGGAGGACATTTGAACTGACTTTCACATGATTTAAGCAAATGCTCTTCTCATCTTAATAGAAGTGCGCACCTACTTCTAGCTGTACAGAGATTAAGTGAAGTAACTTACTTGGCACGTGAGGGTCTCATGGGAGTCTTAGAATTGTGACGAACACTTAGCATATTTTCATGCTCCACTTGCTTCACTTGAGCTTCAAGTTTTGAAATCACTCTGACTCAAAAGCAATGAGACACATTAAGTACATTTCAGCAGGTTTAGGATACAGCTCAGCTTCAAGCTATGCAGATGAGCGTGAGAAAGGATTCCCTATTATGTCTTTTTCATAGCAAAATGCCATCAGCAAGCTTTTAAAAGCCCAACAAAATCAGGGAAAGTGACCAGAAAAGCAAACACATGAGATTCTAGGAAGGAGCACATCATATACTAAAACTAAAGAAAGAAACAAGTGTAGTTAATACAGAAGTAAAACAAGGCTATGTAAATCTGACTACAAATGAAAAGCATGCAGGGTATAAATTCAAGTGAATAGGAAATAAGCTGCGATCATGCTGCACTGTGATCTGCGCGTATGCCAAGTAGAATAGGTCGGAAGCAGCCTTAACTTTGAAAGGCTGTCACAGCTATTAAAAATGACTTTCAGTATCCCACACAACTCAGGTCTACAAGCAACTGGTCTCTGTGCTGTGCTCAGAACAAAGCATACTTCAATTTCACAGCAGTAGATAATCACTCTGGCCAATTAATTGTTCCCAGGATATCTTGGCCTTCTTTCTGCTGTTTTAAATTTTGTGCAAGTCTTCATCTCAATTTTTTTTTTCAATGCTAGGGATGATGCCAAGGGCCTTGCACAGGGCAGGTGAATGCACTACAGCCAAGCTACATCCCAAGCCCTTCATCTCATCTTTTCAACCTGAATCCTTGCCTACCCTGATGCAAGAAAGGCTTGAAAAAGAACAGGCCCAAAAAATCTGATGTGACAAGGAATCTATCACTAGAATGAATGAGAAATGTAGACAGCTTTTCTGTTTGTCTCTGTGAGAAGTCCTTCTGACTACAGTAAAATTTCTAAATTCAGGTCATTAATCCAAATACAAAATAAACAAATAAATAAATAAACCATTCTAAAGCCAGGTTACGGGTTTCTAATCACTTGCAATATTGACCATTTATGATGATGTTCCTACGTAATTAAGCAAATCAGAACATTAACAGAGCATTCAAACCAGGTCTTTAAGAAAGTAGATGAGCCAGGTGCCAGTGGCTCAAGCCTGTAATCCTAGCTACTCAGGAGGCACAGATCAGGATGATTGCAGTTCAAAGCCGGCCAGGGCAAATAGCCCGTGAGACCCTATCTCGAAAAAAATGCATCACAAAAAAGGGCTGGTGGACTGCCTTAAGATGTAGGCCTTGAGTTCAAGCCCCAGTACCACCAAAAAAAAAGTAGATGACCACAAACTTGGAGAAAATTCTATTTTCTTCTGGAGCACAAAACTAATACAATGATTTAGACTGCTTCATTTTTTTTCTTTTTAGGGGGCTAGAGTTTGAACTCAGGGCTTCACACTTGCAAAGCAGACTGTCTACTGCTTGAGCCACGCCTCCACTTCATTTTGCTCTGGTTATTTTGGAGATGCCTGGGGTGGCCTCAAACTGTGATTTCCCCACTATCCACCTCCTGAGTAGCTAGGATTACAGATGTGAGCCACCAGTGTCCAGCTCTAGACTGCTTCTTAAAGCTCCTTCCAGTGGTTAAGTATCATTTAGACTTTACCTATGCTTAGAAATCACATGATGTTTAGAACACACGCCTCTGAGGTTTACCCACTAATATGTTCTTTTTCTCTTTCCCAGTGCTGGGGACCAAACCCAAAGCCTCGCACCTAGGCAAGGGTCTGCACTAACTACATACCCAGCCCCTACCAATATGCTTTAGTCACTTAAAAATCTCATTGGGCTAAATGCAAATGTATTTCTGTACCAACAGACGATTACAACAAAACTTGTTCTCGAACTACTTAAAAATATTTAGAAGGCTTCTTCTTATCACTCTCAACACAGACACACCAAAGAACAATTAAAGGCATGTGCTATTAACAAGATATTTTACCTTTTCAAGTCAGAAATCTGTGTGTGTGCATCAAGCAATTTGTTCTCAGTTGTGTTTAATGTATCCTATGAAAATAAAGGAAATATTCACATAACTGAAAGGTACTCAGACATTCTTTTACTTAAAACCCATAATATAATACTAACCGAAGGCTAAAGCAGCCAGCTGCAAATTCTACAAGTACTCAGCACGCATGACATCAACTGCAGAGCCAATACAGAAGAGTCAGAGGAAAAATCTGAGCACAATCACCAACCTACACTGTAGTTCTGCATAATAGGTACAGTCCATTATGCAGTGCTTAATTAAAAACAATCCAGGGTTAAGATGGATATACTTTAACTACGAATTTGACTAAAAGCTTAGTAGAATGCTAAGACAAACACCTTCAGTGATGAGAGTTCAGAATCTTTGGCTGTCAAGCTGTGCAAGCTTTTCAACTAACCTTAAATATCCCCAGCCCTGTGTTGTATGCAACAGAATTCTTGGACCCTACTTAAGAGTATTATTGTGGGATTTCACTGAATTCAAATACATACACTCCAAAACAGAACTTTAGGAATTCACACTTAATGAATAAAATCATACAACCCTATTTAAAAAAAAAAGTGCTTTGAAAATTAAAACTTTATTTATTTATTTTGGTGGTACTGGGGTTTGAACTCAAGGCCTTGCACTTGCCAGGCAGGCACTATACAACTGGAGCCACACCCCAGTCCAAAACCTTTCTATTTAAACAGTATTAAATTATTTGAATCTTTATGATACCTTACAATCCTCTGCAAACACTTTCACCTCAACTCATTTCAAATGAGTTGTGAATGCTTGTTAAGTAGCACAGATATTTGAAACTACAGATATTAGCACAGAGAGGATAAGCTCGTGGGCTAGTTCAAATCGCTGCGGGTTGAGGAAGGAGAGAAAGGAGGATGAAGGGTCAGCTCTCTCCATGCCGGCCCAGTGCTTTGCATAAAGATCAGATCAGAAACCATTACTCCTTACCTTTACTCGGCTGTGTTCTTTTCCAAGGGACTCATACTCTTCTAAGAGCTACAATGAAAAGCAAAGAATCGCACCACAAAATTACACATTATAACATAAAATGAGGGATAGTCTACAAAACAACAGTACCCTTCAAAAATGCCAATGTCATGAAAGAGAAAGCTTAACACAGAACTGGAGATTCAGGTAAAGGTAATATGAAAACTCCTAATATTATTTTTCCATACTTCCTTTAAGTTTGAAATTTTTTCAAAAGTATGACAAAATAGTATCAGTGTCCTTGAGTATTTCATAATATTAAGATCTATTTGTGCTGTTCTTTTTAAAAATTGTTACATATTACATTTTGCTAACTTTGTTCTATAGAGTAAAACATACAATGCCAGAAGACTAATACACTTTATTTAAAAACACATGTTTTTAAATGTGTGGGCAGGCATGGTGACACAATGCTGTAATCCCAGCACTCAGGAGGTGGAGGGAAGAGGATCAGTGTGAAGCCATTCTGAGCTACACAGAGCAAGACTGTAGTAAAAACACCCACAACCACAACAGAAATATACATGTCACCTTCTGATTAAAGAAGACAGGTTCCTCACAGAATTTTGTACCCTTCACCCTAAGATCACACTAAATGATCAATGAAGAAATGAAAAAGCAAACAAGAGGTGACAGTAACAGGTAAGAGATTTAAACAAAGTATCTTTAAGAAGATCAAACAGAACCTACTCTGGTAGCTCACACCTATAATCTTAGATACGTGGGAAATAGTTCTTGAGACACTGTCTTCAAATTTCCCAACACAAAACAGGTATGGCAGAGTGTCTCAAGTGGTACAGCACCTGCTGAGGCATGAGGCCCTGAGTTCAAACCCCAATACCACCAAAAAAAAACCCAAAGGATCAAATAGAGACCAAACTGCCTCATCAGGGTAGAAGGTGGAGGGGCAACAACCTCCAGTTCTGAATTAGGAAATGCTGATGCAAAGGGTGACATTTGAGAGGCTGCAACTTGGAAATCTGGGTTCTGAGGTGATCAGGGTTGAAGCACAGTGCTGGTCATGGGGAACCTTCCCCTTGGCACCACAGAGGAACTGTTTCCAGAATCACGTCCATGCTAAGTATAGGAAGACACAACACGGTAAGGCTCAGCTGCCTCCAAATTAATCCAAAAACTCAGTGCAACTGCAATCAAGAGCAGAGTTTTGCACAAACATGTGGAAAGATGGTAGTTTTAGATAAAAGAAAACAGAGTCAAGAGTAAGCAAAATAACTTTTATTTTCCTCTTTTCCTGGCACTCACTGTAAACCCAGCTGCATAGGAACCTGTGACAGGAAGACTGCTTAAGCTGATAAAATGAACAGCAGCAACATCGTGTTTGAGAAAACAACATCTCAATAGAAAGGAGCTTAGTGAATTTCTTTAAGTTGTTTTAATGCATTTGTATTCAAGTTTAATAGGTATCCTTTTAAGTAAATTGATAAAATAGTTTTACTTTAATTTAAAACCGTGTTCGATTCATGAGTGAATTCAACTATATTGTAATTGTCCTTTTGCTACAAATTTATGCATTTGAGTTATTTTCATTATTGTGCCACTGAAAAATAAATGGTAATTACTGAAAAAAACTTTTAAAAGACCAGAAGCAAGGTAAAAGGGCCAGGGTTGGAAGAGCGCAGCCTAGCAAATACGAAGCCCTGGGTTTGATCCTACTAAGAGACACACACAGACACACATGCACGTGCACATGCGACAAGGAAAAACTGTACCAAAAAAATCAAAGTTTGTTATAAAATGCTACTATTCAATATAGTATGGTTTCAATTCAAGAACAACAGCAGCAACAAAATCAGACCTATGAAACTGCCCCAAAACGGACTTACATGGCAATGAACCATATCACAGAAGTGGCATTAAAAGTCAGAAAGGGAAGAATGAGCTATTAACAAACAGTTACTCATCTGGAGAGAAAAAAAGCTCAATTCCCACCTCACACCATATGCAAGACACCATTCTGGGTAGATCTAAGAACTGGATGTATTAAGTAATTCTTCATAATGTGGAGTAATTTTCTGATCTTTGGGTGAAGAAAGATTTTGCAAAAAAAGCAAAAAGAGGCCAAACCATAAGTGAGAAAAGACCATGTTTTGGACACAAAATTCAAAATGTGAGGGCAGGAGATACAGCTCCATGTAAGAGCACCCGCCTAATATGCCTGAGACACTGGGTTCTATTCCCAGTACCACAAAAAAAAGCAAAACAAAACTTGTACCCCATAAAATTATCACAGAATAAAAAAGCAAGCTACAGTGAAGAGAATATAACAATACATATACCATTTCACATTAATCACACTGGCAAAAAATTAAGAGGTTTGACAATACAGAACATTAAAAATAAGCTAGAAAATAATTCATAGCTGACATGATTGGGCAGAGATTGGAAAGACTACAGCAATTAAAGAGCAGGCTCAGCAAAAAGTGAGCAAGACCCATGTCAACAAACAAGCTGGCCATGGTAGCAGACGAATGTAATCCCAGTTACTCGAGAGGCTGAGGTTGGAGGACAGAGGTACGAGGCAGGCTCTGGACAAAAACGTGAAACCCTACCTGGAAAAAACAACTAAAAGAAGAAATGACTGAGGTGTGGCTTAAGTGGTGGAGCACCTGTCTATCAAGCAAGAGGACCTGAATTCAAACCCTAATAGAGACAGAGAGAGAGAATATGAATGAATGAATGAGATTGATTCTCATACCCTCCTGTGAGAGAATAAACTGATACAACCATTCAGAGAGCAAGTGAGCAGTATTTAATAACAATGACATGCTCAGGTGTGCGTGTCAGTGCAGCTTGCCCCAGGCATGTGCTCAGAGATACTCTTGTGACACACTGTATTTCCCAATAACGGTCACAAGCAGTATTTCCAGTCCTACCAGCTCTATAGAACCCTGCTGTGCCCCTTCAAAGGATTGTATGTATTTCCCCTCCTCTTAAACCTGAGCAGGATTCTGACACTGCTTACAAAACAGAATGTAGCACAATGAGCTCTGTGATTATGAATTCGATCAGGAAAGGCAGCAGGACTGCTGGGGCACTGTACTCAGCCATTATGCTGCAAAGAAGCCCAGACCAGCCACACAAGAGAGGAACTGCTGCCCTACGTGTCAGCCACCAGTCATGACTGAGCATGCCTTCAAATAATCCCAGCTGAGGTCAATACATGTCACAGAGCAGAGATAAGCATGAGCAGAATACAGTAGGTTTTGTAGCTATGGTAACTAGAAATACCCCAGAGTAATGGCACACATTAACGCAAAAAGCCATGTACAGGAGGATTCACAGTAGTGCTGTTCATAACAGCAGAAACTGACTGAAAACAGGAAACAAGAGGTCCCCACATAAGACTACAACGCAGAGATCAAACAATGGACAAGAATCACTCCAAGTCTCCACTTGGATACTCTTACAAGTGAAAAAGTCGCACAACAGTAAATTCCACATAACGACATTTGTAAAAGTTTTCAGATATGCCAAAGAAAATGACATTTGCATAATTCAGGCAGAGGTGATGATGGATCAGAAAAGATATACAAAGACAGTCATCTGTATCTCAATTCTTAAGATGCATAGTGGGTCCATATGTACTTTTTTATTATTCTTTAGACCTACCTTTTTTTTGGCAATACCGGGTGGGGTTTGAACTCAGGGCCTCATGCTTGCTAGGCAGGCGTTCTACCACTTGAACCACTCTGCCAACCCTTTTTTCTGTTGAATATTTTCAAGATAGGGTCTGAGAACTATTTCCCCCAGCAGGACTTGAACCGAAATCCTCCTAATCTCTACCTCCCGAGTAACTAGGATTACAGGCATGAGCCACCAGGTGCCTGGCCTCATTAGACCCTTTTATATACTTGAAATATTTCAAATATAAATGTTTAAATAAAAATGAGTAAAAGCTAAATGTAGCAACATAGATTTCAAAAACAATGTTCCGAGGGGAAAAAAACAGAAAGATACATGCAGTGCAATACAGTTCACATATAGGTTACACACATTGCTCACAAATACATGCCTCTGTGGCAAAAGCAAAAAGCAATGCATGGAGAAAACCACTAACACACAGAGCAAAGTGGGTACTTCTAGGGTAGGAGAGAAAGGAAGAAAAGAAGGTGTTTCAACTGTATTTACAACTGGCTAGTTGGCGGGTATTCATTTTGTTATTCTTTACACTTTTCCAAATGCTTGAAACGTTTGATATAAATGCAAAGTCAATGTTCTCATCAGCTGTATTAGTGTAATTCCAGCTAAAACCAAATAGGTACCATTCTAGCTATCCTTTGCTGCCCCACAGCTACTGGAACCTAACTGTGGTGGTTTTGGAATGATTAGAAACAATGACATTCCAGGAGCAGATCTTAGTGTCTGAACGCCTTTTCCAGCAGGAGGAAGCAGGGCTCCATGGGAGAGTCACCAGGTCTAGGGACAGGACTGAAAAGTGCAAACCCTTCTGTGGCAGCTGCTGTGCAACAAGGTGTGGGGCTGCTTGCAGAGTAACGCAACGAGCAAAATGAGAGCACGAACCGGGCACCAGTGGCTCACACCTGTAATCCCAGCTACTTTGGAGGCAGAGATCAGGAGGATCACAGTTCCAAGCCAGCTTGGGCAATAGTTCAAGAGACCCTATCTCGAAAAAGACCTAGCAACAAAAAAAAGGGCTGGTGGAGTGGCTCAAGTAGTAGAATGCCTGCCTAGCAAGTGTGAGGCCCTAAGTTCAAACCCCAGTACGGCCAAAAAAAAAAAAAAAAGCATGGTGGCCAGCTTCACGTGTCTTCCACTGGCAAAACTTGGGACAATGTAAGCATCAAAATCACAACCACAGTAGCCTGCAATCCTAGCTACTTGGGAGGATCACAATTTAGGGCCAGCTTGGCATAAAGTTTTGTTTTGTTTTGCAGTACTGGGTTTTGAACTCAGGACCTACACCTTGAGCCACTCCTTGTTAGGTATTTCCAAGATACCGTCTCACAGACTTAATTCCCCAGGGCTGGCTTTGAACTGCGATCCTCCTGATCTCTGCCTCCTGAGTAGCTAGGATTATGGGCATGAGCCACCGGCGCCTGGCTGGCATAAATTTCTTTACAACCCATCTCAACCAAAGGCTGGGTGCAGGGGCTCACACTTATCATTCCAGCTACCAATAGGTGGATTATAATCGAGGCTGCCCCAGCATACAGAAAGACTATCTCAAAAATAATGGATACAAAAAGGCTGGAAAGGTGGCTCAGGGTATAGGCCCTGGGCTCAAACCCCAGTACCACAAAAAAATAGTAATAATTAAATCCAAGTGAAGTTTTAATCAGAACTGGAGGCGTGGCTCAAGTAGCAGAGCACCTGTCTAGCAAAAAAAAAAAAAGGAAATAAATGATAGGAAAATAGGACAAATAAAATCTTAAACAGAAATACTGGAAAATAAAGTTGAAGAAGGCTCTTTGACAAAGTAGAACAAAAAAGGAAAGAAGTGAAAATACGAAAAAAATGATTTTAATATTAGACAATCAGGATGAGACCCAACATCTGTCTAATAGGAATTCCAAAAAGAGAGAACAGCAAAGAAAAAATAGACCAAAAAAATAAAATTTCCAGTGTTACAGTCCTTCAGGTACTCTGCAAAATAATGAAAAAAGCACCAAGGACATCACTGTGGAATTTGAGAACACAGAGCTATTTGGGTAAGATCCTAAATATCTCCAGTGAGAATGGGAAAATAGGTTATAGAAAACAGGTAATCACATAGCACCATCCTTCACAGCAGCAGCACTGGAAAGTAGATGTCACCAGCAATGACTAAAACCAATTAGAGCAACAAAATAAAGTAACTGGATTGTTACAAGTAATCTGAGTACCTATACTACCAACTGTGATTTTCATTTGCGATCTGAGTAAATGTATTATGCTCATTACATGTATTATGCTCATGAAAATGAACTTTAAAAATCCAAAGGAACAAGAAGCGCATCCAAAGCTACCAAGAAGAAAATGTCAAGACCAAGTACTCTCAGACTATTTATATAACATGATAGATAACGTGAAAAAAAATTAAGAAAAACTTAGGGACAGGGACATGTTGCAGTGGTAGAGGTGCAAGGTCCTAAATTCAATCCCTAAGACTGGCCAAAAAAAAAGAAAAATTTAGGCTGTAATCCCACTCAGGAGATAGAGGCAAGAGATCACTTGTTTAAAGCAAGTCAGAAGCCAGGTACTGGTGGCTCACTCCTGTAATCCTAGCTACTGAGGAGGCAGAGATCAGAAGGATCAGGGTTCAAAGCCAGCCCAGGCAAACAGTTCAAGACTCTACCTCGAACTCTACCTTGAAAATACCCTTCACAAAAAAGGGCTGGTGTAGTGGCTCAAGGTGAAGGCCTTGACCTCAAATTCCAGCCCTGGGCAATATGGTGAGACCCTGTCACAAAAAAAAAAAAAGAAAAGAAAAACTTAGGAAATGTACAACCTCAAACCTAATGAAGTATCAATGTTATATGAATCCAAATCTCAAGAATTTCATCAACCCTGCCCTAAATCTGGCTCATAGCATTTTACCCTGCCAGACACAGATGGCACTCAAAAGCTGACCTACTAGAGACAAAAAGCGTGAGAGAACACTATCCTTCTAAGCTCTGACTTACGGCAAGACAAGACCCACACGGCCTGCTCAGGAGCATGTGAGTCTGCAGCTACAACTACACCTGAGATCAAAATGAAACTTATGGAGTAGCCTGAATTCTACAACAGACAATTATTTTTAGCTAACCAGTCATTAAATTCCCATTATCTGTTACTTACATCTTGAAACATCTTGTTTTCCTGTTTTAGTCTAGCTTCTTTATCATCTGACAATTTGTAAGCATTCTCAAATGCTTCTTCTAAATCCTGCAGTCGAGATTTTAGTCGAATGATGGTATTGTCTTTTTCCTTATTGCTTGTTCTCATTTCCTCTATTCGTTCCTGCAAAATTTTGGAAGCACTACTGGCTGCACTGAAGCGTTCTCTCAAATCATTCTACAAAATAAAAACAAAGATAAATTATTTTAAATGAAAAGATACATGCCTCAATAATAGCTAATAAATTATGGGCATTAAAATATAAAATAAAACATATAAATGGAAATAAACAAATTCAGTATTTTATTGCATTTTGGAAAAAGAGTCCAGAAGGATTACTGTAACTAGAACAGTCCAATGGCATTACCGTAAGTAGTCACAGAAAACTACTGTCTGGGGCACAATGACGCTAGGATTCCATGGACAGCAGTGCTCATCAACTACCTTAATGAGGAAAAAAAATAATCCAGCTATCAGGGAAATTACTCAGCAAGTCTAGCTGGAATTTGCTGCCTTACTTAATATTTGGAGGGGAGAACATGTCTTACACTATTTTCTCATTATGAGAACACAAAAAATTTAAAATACATCTGATATGTAAATATTCACTCAAGAATATTTCTAAAATAACCAGTTGGTACCAGGGACTAGTGCACTATGAATGTAAGGTTAAAGTCAGGCACACCTGTAGTCCCAGATACTTGGGAGGCAGAGGTAGAAGGATCACTTAAGCCCATGAGTCTGAGACATCTCAAAAAAAAAAATCTAAGATTGAGCAGGGCATGGTGGCTCCAGCCTGTAAACCCAGTACTAGGGAGGCTAAGCTAGAAGGATCACTGAGTTTGAGGCCAACCCAGGCTACACAGAGAGACCCAGCCTTAAAAACACCCAGACATTATCTTAAGACAGTGTTCTCAACTATGTGAAATTTGTATTTCTAAATAAATAAATTTATAATACTAAAAAGTATCAAGGAAAGGCTGGGTGCCAGTGACTCACACTTGTAATCCTAGCTATCTGGAGGCTAAGATCAGGAGGATTTCGGTACAAGGCCAGCCTGGGTAAATAAAACTAGGGCCAGATGGAGACTCCATCTCCAAAATAACCAGAGCAAAATGGGCTGGAGGTATGGCTCACAACAGAACACCTGCTTTGCATGTGTGAAGACTTTAGTTCAAATCCCAGTCCCACCAAAAAAGCATCAAACTATATATAAATATATAAAACAAAACAGGCATTTCTGCCAAAATTTTGTTGATAAGGTTATGTGTAAAAGAATAAAAACTAGGGCCAGACACGGGAGCTCATGCTTGTAATCCCAGATACTCAGAAGAAGAGACTGGGAAGATCACAGTTCCAGCCTGGGCAAAAAATCATTGAGAATCTGTAACAATCATTAAATTGGGTGTGGTGGCACACACCTGTGGTCCCAACTACTCGAGGCCATAGGCAGGGGGATCTAGGTCTGAAGCCACCCCAGGGCAAAAACTGAAGACCCTACCTGAAAAAAATAATTGAAGCAAAAAAGGGCAGGAGGCATGGCTCAAGTGGTAGAATGCCACAGAGCAATTCTGAGGCTTTGCATTCAAACCCCAGTACCTCCCCCAAAAAAGTGTACCATGCCTAGTTACATACCCAGGAAAACTAAAAACACATACACACAAAAAATCTTGTACACAGGGCTGGGAGTATAGAGTACAGAGCATTGGTGGCAGAGCATGTGTTTAGTGTCCTAAGAGTCCTGGGTCAATCTTCAATTCCGAGTACCACAAAATACATATCAATCTTGCACAATTCATAGTAAAACAATTCACAGGGGCTAAAAGGTGAAAACTACCATCTATCACTTGATGAATGGATTTTAAAAAATATGACATAGCTGCACAGTGAAATTTATTAATCAACCATAAAAAAGGAATGAAGCAGAGGGAGGAGAAAGATGAAGTGTAATAGAAGGGATAAGTATGATCAAAGTACCCTATGTGCAATTCATGGAAATGTCATGGTGAAACCCTTACTACGTGCAATTTAATATGCCAATTTAAAAACTTAAATTTAAAAAAAGGAATGAAATACTGTTACATGTCACAACATGTATGAACCTTAAAAACATTCTTTTTAATTTTTTTTTTTTTTCAGTATTGGTGTTTGAACTCAGGGCCTTGCACTTGCTAGGCAGGCACTCTTATCACTTGAGCCTAGCTCTAACCTTAAAAAAATTCTAAGTGAAAGAAGCTAGACACAAAAGGCCACAGAGTGTATGATTTCTTTATATCAATATCTAGAACAGGCTAATCCAAAGAGGCAGAAAGGAGAGTAATACTTGCAGAGAAGAGTGTCTGGGAGGTGACAACTAGTGGATGTAGAACTCTTTTTTGGAGTTCTGGTGATGAAATCTAGGGCCTTGAACCTACTAGGCTCTACCACTAAGCTATAACCCAGCCCTTGTTTTTTTTGAAACAGGGTCTTGCTATGTAGCCCACACTGGCCTTAAACTAGTGATCCTCCCACCTCCCTGAGTGCTGGGAGTACAAGTAGGCACCACCAGGCCAAACTTAGAGCTCATTTTTGACAGAGGAAAATATTCTACAATTGACTATGGTGATAGTTGCACAACTCTGATTATATTAAAAAACACTAAATTGTACACTTTGAAAAGGTGAGTTTTATGGTATACAAATTACACATCAATTTAAAAAATAAAAAAGTTTTAAAGGATTAAAGCTTATTTGTCATATGAAGCCAGCACAATGAATATAAACTTTCTTAAACAGACATCCTTAAGAAGACAAGAAACACACAGCCAGCATAATCATGAATCTATTCCTGTCTCTCAAGTACAGTTAATAAGAAGGCTTTTTAACATCAAACCACTAGAACCACCACCAGAAAAAGAGTACTTACCACTTCTATTTCCAGTAAGTTATTCTTATTTTCAAGTGTCCTCACAAGATTGTTAGCTTCATTCAATGCACTATCTAATTGGCCACATCTGAAAACCATAAGTTCAGCTTCGATTAGAAGATTAAATCTTTTCCTTTATAAGTATTACATAAGCCTAACTGACTCACCAATATGCATAATTCTCCAATGTCAGCTAAGACCCAGGAGCCACTTCAGTACAATATATCCCAAAGAATTGATGATGACAGTCTAGTATCTGGAGAACAGATCAGACTAAAATAACAATATGAAAAGATTCCTAAAAACTATTAAGTGGGCTGAATGCTGGATAGTTCAGTGGTAGGGCGTGTGTTTTAGTGCGTGTGGCCCTGGGTTTAATCCCATCACATAAGAAAAGGGGCGGGGAGAAGGAAGTAAAAATGTATGAGAAGGTATTTACACACTGTGTTCACAGCCACAATACGCACAACAGCCAAAAAGAACCAGCAACTAGCCAGGCGCCAGTGGCTTATGCCTGTACTCCTAGCTGAATCAGGAGGATCATGGTTTGAAGCCAGCCCCCGGGAAATAGTTCTGGAGACTCTATCTCAAAAAAACTCCATTTCAACAAAATACTTAAAAAAAAAAAAAAAAAGCCATCACAAAAAAAGGGTTGATGGAGTGGTCAAGGTGTAAGCCCTGAGATCAAACCCCAAGACCACAAAAAAAAAAAAAAATTACCAATTAAAGTGTCTTTTAACAGGTAACAGGTAAACAAATGTGGTAATACACACACAATGAATTATTGAACTTAAAAAGGCAGAAAATTCTGATGCATGCTATCTATAACAGGAATAAACCTTGAAAGCATTATGCTGAGTGAAATGTGAGTCACAGGTTGGAGGTGTGACTCAAGTGGTAGAGCACCTGCCTCACAAGCAAAGCCCTGAGTTCAAACTCTGCCCTGCAGAATAAATGTTAACGGCCCCATCTGCAGTACCAGTAGAATTTTTCAATTAGGAAAAAGCTGGTGTGTGCACTGGTAACACCTCCCTGCCCCCAGGGAAATTATTTTCCAGTTCTAAAGGACTGCGACTTCTCGCATTTTTCCACTATCTTCCCTAACATTTAGCTTTACACTAGAAGCTAGATCAAATTCCTCTGGGGAAGTAAAAAAAGTAATGTATTTGCTTGCATCTTGTTGCTATATTTATTCCATCCCACCAGACTGCAGGCCATTAACTGTTACAATGCAACAACTGACTTAAAACCCTGGCTTCTGGCCTGCTCCAACGGCTCCAGAACCTTCTGGACATACGAAATGTTCTACATTTTAATTAGCTGTAGTTTCTGGGTGCCTTCATTAACACCTTGGCGGTAACCTTGAAAAGCCCACTATGGGCTTCACATTTCTGTTTACCACCAGGAAGTACCTCTAATCATCTCTGTTTTGTTCAAATTAAAAATATAATAAATTAAAAAATAAAAATTAAAACAACCAACAATGTTCCCCTAACCTGCTGCCTTCTCTCTTCTCTTTATATTTAAAAGGCTAATCATGGGGCTGTGAGTGTGACTTAGTGGTAGAGTGGTTGCCTCGTATGCAAGAGGCCCGGGGTTCAATTCCCAGCACCAAATAAAGAAAAATCCAGCATTTCTATTATGCTTGGTATGGTAGTACATACCTATAATCTCAGCACTCAGCAGGCTGAGGTGTTACGGAAAGTTTGACAGTAGCTTGGGCTACCTTTCAGGAATTGAAAGTTCAAGGAAACTCTGTCTCAAAAAACAAAAAAACAAATAACAACAAAAACAATAGGGCCTGAGGCATAGCTCAAGTGGTAGAGCACCTGCCTAGCAAATACAAGGCCCTGAGTCCAAATTTCAGTACCATCTAATAATGATGATGATTATGATAATAACAATTAAACCTAAAATTCTATTAAGAATGCAAGATAACATGTATGGGCCACCAAAAAGAAAAGAATAAAAGACAGCCTGTATGGTGGTACACGCATGTAATCCCAGCAACTGGGAGGGTGAAACAAAAGGATCATGAATTGGAGGCCTGCCTGGCTACCACACAGTGAGATCCTGTCTCAAATAAATAAATTAAATCAATCAATCAATCAATCAATCAATAAATCCTAAACCTGACTTTTTTTTCCCTGCCTCTTTTCAAGTTACTTCTTCCTATCATTGTACCCCCACCACCAAAAGCAAAATGGAAGCTACAAAAACTCAGGGATAAGACGGCCATGTCAAATACAACAGCGGCCAGCATTTACTTAGTATAAAAAGTACCTTCTTAAACTCTGAAAGTTGAACTGTGACTGAGCAGTTAACGGAGCATTTCTTTCTCGGCCTCAGAGAGGAGCTCTTGGTCTAGATCACACTTAATTCAAATATGCTATAGTACTCAGCTACTGATGCTAGAAGACAAAGCTCAAGTGCTGTAACGGACTCTCACTAAAGCAAGTCGCGAGTTTCTACGGCTCTCCTGAATGGGTAACTGGCTCTGCAGGCTCAAGAGCACAGTAATAGTTTACAGTCATTGAAGTCTAGCCAAGCACTGCCACTGAGCCACTCCCCCAAGCCAAAAGTTACAGAATTTTTATCAGGGACCTCATAGTTCTATTTTCCCATAAATGACACTATTGTACATGCACAAAGTGTGCTTGTTTCAGAATTTTCTCCACCTGAAACACAAAGATTCAAGTCAGCTATTACAGTGCTATGTAAGGTTACTTCAAATCTTTAAAAATTGTTTAGACAAACATGTCTATTAGAATTTCAAATACAAAATGCAATGTTTTCAAAGTGTTTTATTACCATAATATACTATCTTTATGGGGAGGTAATGCATCTGAGTTAGAGAAACACTAACTTCACAGTGTTAGTTTTACCTGTCTACAAGAACCTGATTGCTCTTCTTCCATTCTTCAACTGCAGAAATTTCTTTTGCCTCCAGTTTCTGCTTCAAACTATTTATTTCTGATTCATAATAAGCTCGAAGATCAGCGATGTGTCGAGCATGCTTTTCCTTCAGGTTCTGCCTGATCCTGTTGGTGAGAGGAAAAACACCCCATCCCATAAGAAAAACCAAAAGCACAGTCATTCTCACAAGCCTGTTTCCTTTGCACACCCCCAGAAAGTAAATGCATGCTCCGTGTGCTCCATCATTTTCTAGACATAAAAATGTCCTAATTTGGTATCATTTACTGAGTGAATTTTTCAGCACTTACTTAAAACCTCAATAAAGTTAAAAAGAATAATTACTTAGCTTTCAGATGCTTTTTTTTTTTTTTTTTTGGTGGTACTGAGGTTTGAATTCAAGGCTTCACATTTGCAAAGCAGGAGCTCTACTTCCTGAGCCCCACCTGCAGTCCATCTTGCTCTGGTTATTCTGGAGATGGGGTCTCTTGAACTATTTGCTCGAGCTGGCCTTGAACCTCGATCCTCCCAATTTCAGCCTCCCAAGTAACTAGGATTACAGGAGTAACCCACTGGAACTTGGCTACTCTATCTTAAAGATGCTATATATTGCTTAAAGATTTTACAATGCTGGGGTTCAATAAAAATGCTTATCATTCAATCAGACATCACAGAAAAATCTATTAACATTACAAGCCATTCACTGAAATACATACTTAGACAACATCACAGGATCTTCCAGGGAAGTCAATGTAATGCATTCTGGGACACTGTTGGCTGTACCTGGAAGCTGGGACTGACTGACTGAGGTTGAAGCTACCATGACAGTGTTTTCTTCATCTACGGTGTTGACGGAGATGTCATTGCTAGTAACAGTATACACTGACGGAAATGTAGAACTCCTACTTTCACTTTGGAACACGTGACTTTTCCAAGAGTCCATCGGTGAAGCTTTCATATTTGAAGGATATTTTGGAAAACTGGATAACTGAAAAGCGTTATTACTTGCTTGTGAAAATGAGTCGATGTCAGAGTGACTAGACATACTTGGTTCTAGAACAGAGTCTGGTGAAAAGGATACTCTCTCATCAAGAACATTCAAAAAGCCATGTGGTTGAATCCCTGAAATCTGTTGGTTTGGCTTCATGTGCATTGTCGGATCTAAAGTCAGTACCTAGAAATAAGACAGACAGCTGTTAAGGTTTTGCCCTTAGTACTCAGGTTGGTTTGCTTGCTTTCAAGTAAGCAGGCTTTAGCTCTCCTAGGGAAAATGAAGCTGTGATAAAAGTTAGAGCCATGAGCACCTTTCATTTCACGCAGCAGAATGTTGACAACTTTACCTCTGATGGATGATTTGGATTGGAAGCAGAAGTGAGATGCCTCTCAGGTAACTGCTTGTTTTCCCTTTGTTTTTTATAAATATCCTTCAGGGATGGTAGCTTCATCTCATTACTAGTTTTAGACTTAAAGATATGAAACAAAATCATTTAAATAGTATTATTAAGACCAGTACCAGTACCATAAAAACTTTTTGAAAGATCTTAAATAAACTGAAAATCTGGATTGTCAGATTAATGCAAGCTTGGAAATCATTTCCTATGATGCATTCATATCTCTTAATGATAAACAGTAAGGGGATAATGTGAACCTAAATTATTTAGCAGCCTATGGATACCTCCAAAGAATAAAATATTCGGTAGTCTCTGATACGGTTTGGATCTTGAATATCCCTCCCCTGGCATGGTCCCCAACTAACAGCACTCCTGGGAGATAACTGAAGCTTTAAGAGGCAGAGCTTAGTGGAGGAAGTGAGGCCACTGGGGCATGTCCATGATGAAGGCATTGGGTCCTTGGGTCCCTTCCCCTCTCTTTTTGTTTTGCTTTTCAGCCTCCATGAGGTGAGTAGTTTTCTCTGTACAGCTTCTGCCATGATGTACTGCCTTGCCACAGGACTGGCCCAAAAGTAACTTGGCCAACCACCCATGGACTGACGCCTCTGAATCCATGATCCAAAATACCTCTTCCTCCTCTTTCTTACATATTTTTTCACAGTCATGGAACGCTAACACAGTATCCCCAGTCACAGTAAGAACTGAGTTTTTTTGTTATTGGTTTTTTATTGGTGGTACTGGAGTCTGAACTCAGTGCCTACACCTTGAGCCACTCCACCAGCCCTTTTTGTGTGTGTGTGTAATGAGCTCTTTCGAGATAGGGTCTCATGAACTATTTGCCCAGGCTGGCTTCAAACCTCAATCCTCCTGATCTCTGCCTCCTGAACAGCTGGGTTTAAAGGGTGAGCACTGGCACCCACCTTCTTTATGATTTTTTTTGCAGTGGAGATGGAACCCAGGGCTTCACACATGGTTGGCAAATGCTCTACCACTGAGCTCCACCCCAACCCGTATTTTTCTCATGTCCATGAAATTTGGAATGGTGGGCTCTGTAAGTCTCTGTGACTCTATGACATAAAATATACCTGGATGTCCCACTGTCCCATCTGTCCATACACTGTCCCTCACTTTTACAACTCCTTTGGTTACTTTAATTGTGTCTCTCCTTTTCCCAGTCTACTCTCTCACTATCTGATCAAAATGTAGAAGTGAAAGATGCAGAATATCACTGTACATGCGCTCAATGGTTCCATTTCTTTGCTCTGAACAAAATATTTACATGTCTTATTCAAAGAAAGTACATCAAATTATGTTGCTCAGAATTATGAGCAAATGGGTCGGACAGAGGTGCAACAGGATGGGAAAAAGGGAAGAAACTGACAAGTAGCTGAAGACCTGCTGTACATAGAACAGCAGCCACAAAAGCATTTCATCCAAGTTCACAAAACTTTAGGGGGCATTTTAATTCCACTTTTAAGTAACTATTCTAAGATTACAAAGGAAATAAACTGAATTACATAGGAACAAATGACAGAGAATTTGAAAGCAGATGTGTATGGCTCTAAAGCCCATGTTTTCTACTGTCAGAAGTTTAACTGTAAAATTTATTGTGGCATACTTAACTACAATCATAAAACACAAATAGTCTTAAATCACCTGGCTTGGTGGCCTCTCTGCAGGGGAGGACTGCACAAAAGTGTTCTCCAAAGCTTCAGGCAAAGAGTGATACATGTCCTTCTCCTCCAGTTTCCAGTAAGTCAGTCCTAATGTGTATAAGCATGTACAATAAAAGGGAGTAAGAAAAGAAAACAAAAATGCCTTCTACAATAACTTATTTCTACTTAAAAAAAAATTAAAAATTGGGAGGTACTAGTTTTCGGCTATCTAGTTATAACAACTTAAATTTTTATAGGAAAAGAGTTGCATAAGTGTCTTACCATGTAATGATACTAACTTAATGATCCAAATATTTAAAACTGAAATATTATTAAAAGCCAAAAAGTATTAGTACAGCTCAAAATATATTTTAAACTAGACATGAACTTCACCACTAATACAGCCTTACATAAAATCAATGTAAAGGATTCAAATATCTGCTAAGCATCTCTGTGCCCATCTGGGAGGCAGAGCGAGCCATGAACAAGTAAGTCATGCACAATGCAGGTAGCACGGCAGGTAACAAAGCCGTGAGCACTCTGAGGGTGCAATCTGAAAACAGAATGAAGGGCTGGAGGGAGGCAGGAACTATTTTTATAGGGTTGTCAGTTGGCTCACTGAGAGGGTTACAATTAAAAAGTTTCCCAACATGAGGAAGCAGCCAGTGCCAACAGCCCTCGAATGAGAACATACTGGTGAGCAGACAGCATCCTTGCTAAAGACAAAGTAATACAAGAGGTGACAAGGCTAGATCCTACTGGCCTTGAGGCCTCATTATTGTGGGGACATGTGAACCATGGCCAAGGGAGGAGTCATGATCTAACTTATCTTTTAAAGGGATCACTCTGGCTACTGTGCTGAGAACAGACTTAAGGGCGGAAAAAAGCTTGCAGCAACCAGGTGACAGATGAGAGGCTTCATTAGGGTGTAGTAGTGGAGGTGGTAAGAACTGGTTTAATTCTGGAAATTTTTGTAAGCAAAGCTAATTCAAACTGATGAATTGCATGTGGGATGTGGCAAAAGAGCAGGGGAAAAGGAGTTAGTATATAAAGTCAGTAAAACTAGAATAGCTCACCACGGAGTGTAAAGAATGGCTTACAGAGGGTTTGAATTTGTTAATTCATTTTGGAGCAACAGAAAGAGGTTAAAGCTGTTAGAACAAAAGTACATCTTCCTGCTGTTCTTACAGAACTTGTGGCACAAATTAAGGGAAGAAAGTTATAGATAGCAGAGTAACATGACATACAGCACATTTACAGAAGCCATACTAACACACTGCATACAACTCTTATTGTATCCTGAGAAATACAGGCAAGTTGCTAAAACACACATGTACACACTTCAAAAATATGAAGTTCTATACCTGTTCCTGAATCAGACATCCAAGAATTTGAACTTCCATCTGGTTTACTGAGGTAAAAAGCACGAGGATGTGAAGTAGTAGCAAAATCAGACTGCAATTCAAAAAAGAAAATGATTGGTAGACAACTAAAATTCATTAAGCCCACAACGCCAACCCAAAGAATGCCAGCCAGGTGTCAAAGCCAGATACAGAGATCTGCAGATGGCACATTGAAGAAGAAAGCCTGGTTTTCTCAGGGTTACAAGCACACAAATTGATAGTATTACCAGTGAAGGGCTTTCATTCCCTGCACAATTTATAAGTTTATTTCAGTTCTTGGTGGAGTGGGTAGGAGAAAACTGGGAGTTAAGTGTCATCTAATGAGTTCAAAACTAAAATGGATTTATAATTTGCCATTTACTTACAAAAGAAATTTGAGGTGTCTGGAATTAAAGTCATTTAGTATAAAAAATTAATCTTTAAAGGCAAACTTTTTTTTTTCATTTTTCTTTTATTATTCATATGTGCATACAAGGCTTGGTTCATTTCTCCCCCCTGCACCCACCCCCTCCCTTACCACCCACACTGCCCCGTCCCTCTCCCCCCCCCTCAATACCCAGCAGAAACTATTTTGCCCTTATTTCTAATTTTGTTGTAGAGAGAGTATAAGCAATAATAGGAAGGAACAAGGGTTTTTGCTGGTTGAGATAAGGATAGCTATACAGGGCATTGACTCACATTGATTTCCTGTGCGTGTGTGTTACCTTCTAGGTTAATTCTTTTTGATCTAACCTTTTCTCTAGTACCTGTTCCCCTTTTCCTATTGGCCTCAGTTGCTTTAAGGTATCTGCTTTAGTTTCTCTGCGCTAAGGGCAACAAATGCTAGCTAGTTTTTTAGGTGTCTTACCTATCCTCACCCCTCCCTTGTGTGCTCTCGCTTAAGGCAAACATTTTTTGATTGGGGGGGGGCATGCTGAGAATTGAACCCAGGGACTCGTGTATGCTAGGCAAGTATTCTACTACTGAGCTACATTCCTAACCAAAAAAATCTTAACAACTTGTTTTTATCTTTACAACTTGAATAGATCAAATTATCTTGAAGACTACAAATCAATATAAAACTTAAATAGATTACTTCTCTATTTTTTGTTTTGTTTGGTTGGTTTTTTGAGATGGGGGTCTAGCTATGAAGCTGAGGGTGGCATTGAACTTTTGATCCTCCTGCCTCCACCTGGTGTGCACCACGACACCTAGTAAAGACTACTTCTGGAAAACCTGTTTGGAGGGTGTAGCAGGAGGGCACAGCTACTTGTACACCCTTGACTGAACAATAATCCTCCTCTATCAGGGAAGGTTGTCATCTTTGACTGAATGCACAGCTTTGGGAGGGACACACCTGAAGAAATAAGGGAGGAAAGGGACACCTGCTTTAGCCAGCCAGATCAGCTGAATTCAGTTCTAGCCATCAGTAGGGTGACAGATGTCGCAGCCAGATATCCCTCACATCCTAAAACTTTTCTTTGTGTGTGTGTGTATGTGTGTGTGTGTGTGTGTGTGTGTGTGTGTGGTACTGGGATTTGAACTCAGGGCCTTGTACTTGCTAGGCAGGCGCTCTACCACTTGAGACACATTAACAGTCCCTAAATTATTTCTTATACACTAATAATCTCTGGCATTGTCACAGGGGCTGGGAGTGTAGCTCAGTGGTAGAGTGAATGCCTAGCATGCACAAGGCCCTCAGTTCAATGCAGTGAGGGAGGGAAATTGGAGAGGAGAGAGAAAGAGAGAGAGAAGATATCTATGTTTCCAAACAGTTTTATACGACAGATATTTCTATCAAACTTTTTCTTATCAATTTCGCCATCGTCAAACTTTTTGTTCCTGTTAAAAGTCTGCAAGTAGCACTGCTGACAATCACTCATGCAGTCATTACAGAAGAATAACCGGGATGGCAGTACTTTACCTACCAGGTTTAACCACTTAGCCTCTTTTGATCCAGGGAGAAATTCCTAAGCCATCTTTTATCTCAAAACTCCTCTACTTGTGTTGAATTTGTGTCAGTACTTTAAAGACCATGGAAAGGTGACTAGAGATGACTGAGTCAAATGCTCCCAAGTAAAATGTTTAGTCCCACCACAATGCTGAGGTACAAATTGTAGCACACTGGGTGAACACACGCGGTAGGCTGGAGGCTCCCTGCACACAGCTACTGGCTGCATGCTTGTGGACAAATAAGACATCCATAAAGAAAACAGGCTCCACTTCAGATGCAAATAACAGCATGGTCCAACAAAAAGCCCCACAAAATGTAAACCTTCATTTACATGAAGCAATGGCTCAGACACGTAATCCTAGATACTCAAGAAGGCAGAAATCAGGAGGATTGCAGTTCAAGCCAGACCCAGGCAAACAGTTCCTATAAAAATCAGGTTAGGTTGGGTCTTTTCTGTCAAAGGATTTGATCAGTAACCACCGCTGTAAAAAATGTTAGTCTCACTAACTTGATTTCCATATGCTGGCTTCATGGACTCTGCCTAACCTGATAAGAGTTTCTATTAAGAACAAAGGGTTGTTATCCTCAGCTGGGCAAAATTCTGCTAGATGCCCTGGTTCTGGAGCTGATAACCTAAAACAGTTATTGCTTCCCTGAACTTTTAAACTTCTTTGTCTTCAAAGCCCTCTCTGATCTGTCCCCATTCTAAATAGCCAACTGCATAGATTGTGAACCTGAAATCTGCCCAATCCAGGGGAGGGGCAGCACTGCCTTAGAGATAAAACCCTATTGGACTTCCCACCCAGCATGCTTGCTTCCCAGACTCTTTGTAGGGTGCACACCCTTCTGCAGAAGTAAATTTTGCCTTCCTATTGACTTCTGAGTTGTGTCATCTTTCTCATGACACAGTATCTTAAAGATATTTCTAACAGTTCCGGAGACCCTATCTCCAAAAAACTCAACATAAAATATGCCTGACAAAGTGGCTCAAGTGGTAGAATGCCTGCATAGAAAGCATGAGACTCTGAGTTCAAATCCCCAAAACCACCCAAGCAGTTCCAACATCCGGGATTGGCACCCAGGATAAGTACATTGCTAAATCCCAAGTGATTCCAAAGTTTGGAAACCACTGGACCACAAATACAGACTGAGTTACAACCACACAAGACAGCAAGGTCCACTATCTATTGAGAACACAACCACAAACCCAAAGTGAAAAAGTCTTGGGGCTGGGGATGCAGCTTGGTGGTAGAGCACTTGCTTAGCATGCACAAGGTCCTGGTTCAATCCCTAGCACCAAAATAAAAGCTTTTAAAAAGATGGAAGCCAGATATAGTAGCGCACCCTATAATCCCAGCACTTGGAAGGCAGAAGAAGGTTCAAGAGTTTCAGGCCAGGACTGGAGGAGTGCCTCAAGCAGTAGAGCGCCTGTTTTGCAAATGTGAAGCCCTGAGTTCAAACCCAAGTACCTCAAAAAAAAAAAAAAAAAAAAACCACCAGCCTGGACTACATAGTGAGATCCTGCCTCAGAGAGGAAAAAAAAAAGATGAAATTTTATTCTTAACCTTCATAAAAACAAATTACTACGTAAGAGAACATTCTTCCTTTATGCCAACCAATTCATCAATTCCAATGATAAATGCAATTTTTACCCCAGTCTCCAAATGTTTTCATACTATCATATTCTTGATGGCATCCAAGTTCAAAAGAACAGAACCATTCACAGAACACTAAAGGGGCTTTCCAGAATAGGACTACCTAGAACTGTCCCTAGAACACTAAGGAGCAGAAGTACAGACAGCAGTAACCTGCTTTTCTAGGCTACAAAAGCTTAGCAGCTCATGAAGCTTCATTTACCTTTATCTCCTTCAATATAAAACTGAAAAAGTTCAAAGATGGTAATATTATGAAGTCTAAATATTACAAGCTGAAAAAAATTTTATTGAAAGAAAAGAGAAATAAGTAGTGCTTAACAAACGCTAAGGGACTTCTTATGATTTACACCCTTTTCCTATGATGATCGAGACAACCAATTTCTAAAAGTATCCGATTTGTAGAGACCTGATTTTGCAACTTCAATGTTATTCTATGACAATTTAGGCCACTGAAGGCTATATGTGTGTAAGGCTTTAACGAAAAGAGCTGCCATGTCAGCAAATGGGCTACTACAGATTAAATGTTTTATCTCTTAGTTGAGCACCAGTGGCTCACATCTATAATCCTAGCTACTTGGGAGGATCAGGATGCTCACAGTTCAAAACCTGCCATGACAAATAGTTCTCAAGACCCTATCTCAAAACCACTCAACACAAAAAAAGGACTGGTAGAATGGTTCATGTGGTAGAGTGCCTGCCTAGCAAGCATGAGCCCCCACCTCCAAAGAAAATAAGAAAAATTTAATCTTTAGAATTTGGATTATAAATTTAGAAGCGTACAAATTTCAACATTTTCTATAAAGGTATCTTAACACACACACAGTACCACTTTTAGAGCCTAACAGTTAAATGAATTACTTGAAAGTATTTTTGCTTGTTTTCTGCAGTGCTGGGAAATGAACTCAGGGTCTTATTCCCAGATGGCACTCTACCACTTGAGCCACACCTCCAGTCCATTTTGCTCTGGTAATTTTGAAGACAGGGTCTCTCAAACTATTTGCCTAGACTGGCCTCAGTCCTCCCAATCTCAGCCTCTCAGATAGTAGGATTACAATCGTGAGCCACCAGCACCTAACCCAAAAAGTTTTCAAAAGCAATTAAATGGATTACTTTCTGGCTAAATATAAGAATCTGCAGTACAAAGAGAAATAGGACTTTAAAAATTTATTCATTTTTATATTTTATGCCTGATGAACTCTGATTTCTAGCTTACTAAAGAAGAAGTGTTTGGTTTTTTTTTGTTTGTTTTGTTTTTTTGTGGTACTAGGGTTTGAACTCAGGGCCTATACCTTGAGCTACTTGGCCAGCCCTTTCTTGTGATGGGTTTTTTTTTCGAGATAGGATCTCAAAGCCAGGCTGGCTTCGAACCATGATCCTCCTGATCTCTGCTTCCTGAGTAGCTAGGATTATGGGCCTGCGTCACCGGCACCCGGCAAGAAGATCATAATGTCCAATCTTGACACGAGACATGAAAATAAAGATTTGTGCCCAAAGCCCTGAGTTCAAACCCTACTATAAAGAAGGAAGGAAAGAGGGAAGAAGGATGGATTTGTAAATGAATGAAACAATACAAAAGGAAGGAGCAGCTCAAGTGGTAAAGCGCTGGCCTAGGAAGTATCAAGTCCTGGGTTTCATAAACCCAACATAACAGTCAGAGCCAAGTGTGCGTACCTCATCACCTACTTTCTCTCCTGCAGGGTTCTGGCTCTGCTCGCTCCCTTGCTTCAGTCTTGAACATCCATCTTCTCCATGGACTCTCCTGGGCTGGTTCTGCTTCAGCTTTTGTGCCCATGACGTTACAGACTTACTACTTAAGAGAAAACCAAAATTACTCGTCCTTCACATTATCAGAGTAAACACAGTAGATACCGTTTCAGTGGAAAATGCTTTGCTTTTCTCCTACTGGAAAGATGATGGAGTTCAACTGACTCAGCTCAATTTTCAATTTGTTTATTACCAAGTCAAAGTAAACAAAATGACACAGAAATTAATAATATAAAGTCTGCAGAGACAGGAAAAAACAAAAACCACGGCACTGGTCCCTTCACGTACTGATCTCCACTGTGAATGCATTCTTTGGCATGAATTAATAATTATACTTTAGGGTAGATAGTGTGTTGCTATAGCTAAATGTCTTATTTCAGTGACACATTTCAGAGATATAAAGCTGAAAATTTAGAGTAAACTACAAAATTTTACAAGATTTGCTCTATAAACATTCAGCCAGTTTCTTTTTAAAGTCCAAAGTCAATCTTCATCTATAAAAAAACAAAACTGCTTACGCTTATATATAATTTCTGGTTTCAAATCACATGACAAAATTCCTCTATGAATAGAGTCCTACATGCTAATATCTAGCAAGCTCCCAGTACCTAGAAAATCTAAACGGTACTTTTCCACAGTGCCTCCCACCTTCAGAGCTTAACATTTCAAATGAGAAGGAGGTCAGATGTCACTCGGACACAGCACGCTTTATTTCCGTTTTCCACATACAACAAATAAAAGACTGATTTTAATGATAAAACTGATACGTGTTCTGCTACGTCTCATTCTACTGAAGCACAAGTAAAGGAATTTACTAGATTATAAATAATAAGCCAACTCCCTTCAAATAATGGAAAAAATCTACTTACTTCTTTGTTTTTCCACTGTATACTTCAGAAATCTTATTTTCACCAAGAAAATTACATTCAAATTCACCAGGCAAAGTGGAAATGTCTTCCTTTAAAGTTGCACAAAACTCTTCAGGGGTCTGCGCGTAAAAACCCCTATTTCCTGCCCCATCTGCTGGGGGGTTTGTCTGCACCACAGCTGCCAGGTGATGCCCCTGAGAAACACCCGTGCGCTCCATGAGTCCTGCGCGGTCTTGCGATTTGTAGGTTTTTAATTCCGAGACGCAGAAGGTGCCGTAACCACTGCTCACTGAGCTACTATCCACATTGCAGTCTGCTTGTGATGTGGGCATTTCCTGCTGCATTTCAAGTTCCTTAGGCTCAGGATAACTAATGACAGATTCATTTCTCTCACTATTTTCAGAAAAAAAGCCCATTTGGCTTTCCGAGGATAACTGTTTGCTTGAGGAACCTGTATCACAGGAAGCCCAGGAAGCATTACTGATCTGCAGTTTGACTAAATTTTTGATCTCTTCCTGTATACGCTGGGAACAAAAAGTTAGATTTGGGTAAGAAAGTATATTAAACATCACATTTTTATAAACGTTATATAGTATGTTTCAAACTATGACGATCTATCTTTAGTTTATAAACAATTGATAAATTGTTTTCCTACAAATCTTAGAGTTAAAAAAAAAAAAAAACAATAAAAATGACAACTTACTTGAATTTGATTGTGGAACTGTTCCTGCTGGACAACTATCTGTTGCTGGCATTGTTTCTCCACCAAATTAAACAACTGTAACCACCTGGCCTATTAAATTATAAGACAGCTTAGTTAACAATAATCAACTTAATATTTCATAGAAAAATTATTCCAGTAAGAAATGAATACTTTTTTTTTTTTTAAGGTGGGACTGGGGTTTGAACTCAGTGCTTCCCACTTGCAGAGCAGGCACTCTACCACTTGAGCCACACCTCCAGTCCATTTTGCTATGGTTATTTTTTTCTGGGGGGAGGTAAATGGGAATTTATTAAAAGTTAGGAAGGGGGCTAGTAGAATGGCTCAAGTGGTAGAGCGTGTGCCTAACAAGTGTGAGGCCCTGAGTTCAAACCCCAGTGCCAACAAGAAAAGAAAAAAAAAGTTAGGAAAGGAAAATACAAAAGGGAGAATGGTGAGACCCAGGGGAATCTGGAGGCCGAGAGATGCTCTGGTTATTTTGGAGATGGAGCTTTGGAAACTATTTGCCCAGACTAGCCTCAAACCAGGATCCTCCCAATATCAGCCTTCCAAGTAGCTAGGATTACAGGTGCGAGCCACGAGGACATCCAGTGGAATATTTTTTTAAAAGTCTTAATGTTAAATTTCTAAGCCAAATTAAGTAGTTCAAATATATATTTAATGCCAAACTACAAGAGACAGAAGGTCAGGTACCCTTTGCTTAATGTAACCTGAGTCTGGGTAAATCTGAGTATCTCAGTCTTATTTCTCAAATGGCATCTTACTTTGATATTATGTATTTCTGATTAGTCAAGATTGGAGGAGGATGGACATGGTAGTGCACGCCTGTAATCCCAGCACTCAGGATCTGAAGGCCAGCCTACTATGCACAGTAAGACTCTTGTCTCAAAAAAGAATGTAAATGCACTTTACGTTTGTCTTAAGTTCCTTGTTCTTTCTTCGTAACGGTCAATGATTTTCTTAAATAATAGCATATACCCAGAAGAAGAATCCCACATTCTAAATTAAGAAATGGTTTAGTATTATGAGAACTTAACCCCTAATATGTGATTCAATTAAAATACCCTTGTAATATCAGATATTTAAGTAAGATGAAAATGAAAGGAATGAAAAAATGACTGTAAGCCTATGGAGCTGGCCTATAACTCAGTACAGCCTCGGTTAGGTTATGATCTGCCCTGACTACCAAGAGCAGTGAGTACTTGCTAACTAGACACACAATGGGAGCAGGGCACTGCTGGCTCATGCCTGCAATCCTACTACTTGGGAGGCTTATGGTTCAAGTCCAGTCCAGGCAAATAGTTCCTAAGACCCCACCTCCAAAATAACCACAGCAAAATGGACTGGAGGTGTGGCGCAAGCAGTAGTGCCTGCTTTGCAAATTCAAACTCCTGAGTTCAAATCCCACCACAAAGAGAAACACATTAGGATGGGGGCAGGACAGAAACAAGGTATTTTCCAGAAGACTAAATTCAACCTCAAGGCTGGCACACACTCAGTGGTAGACTATATGCAGTCTCTTGGTTGAGATCCCATCTCACCCAATAAAAAGCTAGGCATGGGGGCACAAGCCTGTCAGCCTAAATAGAAGGATTCCGGGATCTGGGGATGTGGCCCAAGTGGCAGAGTGTCTGCCTAGCTAGCTCAAGGCCTTGAGTTAAATCCCCATTACCTCCAAGCAAGCCCAGTCATAAACACAAGACCCTATCTCAAAAATGACCAGAAGTATGGGCTGGGGGCTCAAGCAGAAGGTGAGCACCTGCCTAGCAAATGCAAAGCTCTGAGCTCACAAAAACCACAAACAATAATAACAATAACAATCAAAGTAAACGCTCAAGGCCCCCACTTCAAACCCTAAGACTGACAAAAAAAGATTCTTTCAATTAAATCAAACACATAGCCTTCCCAAGTTTAATTGGCGGTAATAAACTTAAGAATTCCAAGGCAGGCAAGTTTTATAGCCAGGCACTGGTGGCTCACGCCTGTAATCCTAGCTACTCAGGAGGGAGAGATCAGGAGGATCACGGTTCGAAGCCAGCCTGGGCAAATAGTTCACGAGACACCCCCCTCCACCCCCACCCCCACCACCGCCCCCGCCGCCAAATCTGGAAAAACCTATCACAAAAAAGGCTGATGGAGTGGCTCAAGGTGAAGGCCCTGAGTTCAAACCCCAGTACTGCAAAAAAATAAAATAAAATAAAATCCAATACAAAGGAATGAGGGCATGACTCAAGAACAGCTCTTGCCTAGCATGTGAGAGGCTCTAGGTTCAATCCCTAGTACCACAAAAGAAAAAAGAATTATTATTCTAAGAAGTATGACTAGTGTTTAAAGCAAAATCTATTGCTAAAAATTTAATAATACTAATGTTTTATATACATTTCTATACAGAATTACCATCTCTAGACTATCTTGAAAAATAGGGAAAGACCACCTTATTATTCTATGAAACAAAATTTACACAAAATTCTTTTGATTTTTTTTTTTTTTTGGTAGTGCTGGAGATGGAAGCCAGGGCCCCATACATGTAATACAAAGCGCCCCACTGCTTAGCTATATCCCCAGCCCCCAACTATTAAATTTTTATATCACAATTTAACCTGCAGAACAAAGAATCAGTGACCTGAAAACAATATAATGCAATGTGTCACAGAGGAATGTGATACAGTACTAAACAGAAGGTTCCATCTGTAATTAGAACATATAAAAATTCTAGCTTGGTTTTCCAAAATGAGGACAGCTCCTTGAGTTACTGGGAATATTACAGTTCAGCAATTGTAATGATTTGAGAGTTCCCAGTTCTCTGAACAAGACATTTAAATTCACATTTAATATACAAATTAACATATTTAATTACTTCTTGCTAAAATATTTTTGATGACTTTTTTCACATTGCTCAGTATCATCCCAAACAATACACTTGAGCACTTTACTTTAGCAGTGAGCATCACGCTCTTCAGGACATAACTTCCTAATAATTCAAAGCTCAGTAGAAATATGTGTCAATATAATTACTTTTAAATCCCCAAAATAAACCAAAATGAAATACCTCACAGGTTTTCCAAAGGTCTGAATCAGTCTTTCCACTGTTCTGTAGCTCTTGCATTAAAGAGGTTAGGACTTCAACTGTACCTTGAATGACAGATGGTCTGGTCTTCCCTGAGAAAGAGGATACCCCATTTGTACTAAGGTGGAGACTACTTCTGTTGAACATAAACAATTCAAATGGTTTCCTTCATTCTTTCAAAATGTTAAATAATTCAGCGTTCAAGATTTAGCAGAGCAGTACAAAACCACTGACACTTAATCCTTCTAATGGTACCTCATTTACTGAAAATCTGATCACAAGTTTGTCCGCAAAAAGAAAATAGTAAAATGACAGGCAGTACTTATTTTGTTAAGGACACAACATAAAAACCTTCTGTAGAAGTGAGAGAACACTCCAAAAAGTATCAGCACAAGATAAGCAACTCTCAGCTTCCCTGTGAACACTGCAGAGGCCACGGTGGCCCACTTGGAGAACAGCCCTGCATTGTGTGCTGACGGAGGGTTCTTCCTCCACTGCCCAGGAGTCAAGTCAAGTCCTTCTAACTGGATCCCCTAATTTGGTGTGATAAGCTCGTGCTTATCACTGCACTACCTTTGAATAAAAGTTGTGCCAAGCAAATTAGCAGCAAATACTCATGATTTATTTCATTTATTTAGTGTGTAAAATAACACTGATTCTTTCCAGAAAGTCTGTATTTCCAAAGGAGTTTTATTCAGATTTTATAAACACACAAAGCATAGTTCAAGACATTAAAGTTTAAATCTAGTTACTGAAACATCATTTTCATTTGCTTATTGATACCTTGCCTTGTTTCACACAAAAAATAATTATAAAAAGGCACTAATGAAAATAATAGTAGCTAATACAAATTAGGACTAAAGAAAGTATTAACAAGAATCCAAGAGAGAGAACATAATATGTTGTCCACAAGGGATTACAGTTGCAATAATCTAGTTTCAACATGGCAGATTTAACTGTCATTCACAAAGAAAAGGGAGACAAGTTCACTAATAATATTCATGAGATAGGCACATTTAGGTTCCTCCAAGCAAATCAAACACTGTGTTCTGAAAGGAATTTCTTGTAGAAGTTGACTTATTATGGACCATCAAGTGATATTCCTAGCACTACACACACACACACACACACACACCCCAAAACCCCAGTACTGGGGTTTAAACTCATAGCTTTGTGTTTGCTAGCCAGATGCTCTACCACTTCAGCCATACCTCCAGCCCTTTTTTTCCTGTGATTAGTCTTACTTTATTGCCCCGTCAGGCCTCAAACGGAGATCCTCCTGACCTCAGCTGACCTCCCAAGTACCTTGGGTTACAGGTGTGAGCCACCTGTGCCCAATTCAGGATAGCTTTTTAAAAAATGTATTTTGTTAACTATTTTGTCAAATCAGAATCTGGTTTTTGCTTAGTTCTTAATATTCAACTTTGAGGTGTTTCTGCAATATAAAACATTACTCTTGTGCATTGTTTTTTGGTGGTACTGAGGTTTAACCTCAAGGCCTCATGCTTGCAAGGCAGGTGCTCTACTGCTTGAGCCACTCCACCATCCCTTTTGTATGTTGGGTATTTTTCAAGATAAGGTCTCTCGAACTATTTGCCTGGGGCTGGCTTCGAACCAGGATCCTCCTGATCTCTACCTCCTGAGTAGCTAGGATTACAGGCATAAGCCACTGGTGTCTGGTTTATAACATTATTTATACCGTTAATTTTAAATGTAGAAATAATATGAAGGCAACTAAATTTTAAAGATATGCTTGTAATTTACCAAAAAAAAAAAAAAAAAAAAAAAAAAACTGTAAAGGAATCTACACCTACCAAAATGTTTCTATGCAAAATGAAAATCACAGAAAAGCTAAAACTATTTTCAAGTTAAATTTGACTGTGCCTAAACAGTTCCTGATCATAGCTGGTTTTTTTTTTTTTCTTTTACAAAAAAGAAATGTAAATCAGTCACTGTGTCACTATTTGGATACACTGGTAAACTATCCAATAGTTATGTAGCTCTGTTACACCAACAAGTATCTATTCCACTCTTACCTATCAGCATTTAAGCTCAGTCCAAGAGAATGGGGAGAACTTTTTATATCAGATTCTACAGAAGATGAAGTTTTTTCTAAAGTTTTCACCAAGTCAAAATCCTCCATACCGCACAGAAATTGTTATACTCTCTTATTTGAAAATATACATTCTTTCACTGTTTGAGGAAATTGAATCCGAGTCATCTTCAGATGCTTCATCATCTACCAGCATTTTCAGTTGCTAACATTCAGAACTGTGAAATATCCTAAGTTTTTCCAAGAGAGTCTGAAAATGAATATAAAAAGTCACTAAACTTAGCAACTGTCTTTTCATGACTTTGGAAGCCTTCACTTGTTTCATATGAATCTACATTAAGGATTCCAACATTATTCATCATGACCAAATGTAGAAACAACCCAAAGTGTATCAACAGATGAACAGATAAACTAATTTGGTATATACTTCCATATAACAGAGATTACTCCATTTTCACTCTTGCGGTTACAAGAAATGAAGGGGCTGGGGACACAAGTGGTAGAGCGCCTGCCTAGCAAGCAAGAGGTCTGAGTTCAAACCCTGGTACTGTCAAAAGGAAAGAAAGAAAGAACCATTGACACATGCTACAACACAGATGAACAACAAAAACACTATGCTAAGTTAAGGAAACCAGTCACAAAGACTATATATTGTATGGTCACTTACATGAAGTACTTAGGACAGGCAAATTCTCAAGTAACAGAAAGCAGACATGTTTGCCAGCAGCTGGGGAAGTGCAATGGATGCAGAGTTTCATCTTGTTGGAAGGTTCTGGAATTAGACACCAGGGATGGTCTACATCCTGGTGATACTAAGACCACTGAATCACACGTTGAAAAGGATAAACTTTTTTGGTATGTGAACTGTATGTCTCAACAAAAATCTGTACGGAGGGTTATTAACAAAAGTATCATCTCTTTCAGGTAGTATTTCAGAGTTTTTTGAGCTTAATAATCAAGGTTCTACACACAATTCTATTATGTAACAATTAGGATTCTTACATGACTCATTCATTAATAAATCTACCAAGCATAGCTGCATGTTGATTTATAGTGACTAGAAGAATTTAAAACCTTATTATTTAATCTGCTATTAAAAAGAACCATTTAAACTGTTAGCACAGGGGCCCCTCCCCCCAATTGGCTGGAAGTACATTTTGCACTATGCAAAATGTACTGTGCATGTTTATTTCTTGAAAAGTAAACTGTTTGCCAGGCCAACTACAAATTTACTGAAGCTGGTATACAGAAGCAAATTGGGTGCTGTAATGAGTCAAACAATACGCCTACTTCTTAGGGAATTCATACACTTTTTAAAAAATGGAGAGACAGGCCTAGTGGCGCACACTCACAATCCCAGCACAAAGGAGGAGGCATAAGAATAGAGTTCAAAGCCAGCCTGGGCTATAGAGTGAGACGCTGTCTCGAAACACACCTTAAAAGAAAAAAAAAATGACACAGCAAGAGAAAAAGAAAACCCATGTTGCTTAGAAAATGAAAAGTTTAAGACAGTGCAACCGAGGAAAATTACTTCATATTCGGGTTCCACTAGATTCCTAATTTCTAGGGCCTGGTTTTATAAAACACTGCAAAAAAAAAAAGGAAAAAAGACCACACTCAGATGGCGTTAGCACTTCCTTCGGGGGGGCAGGCGTGAAAGCCACGGGTGACCCGACACAACTCCCGCGTTTCTCCCCGGAGGCTCCGCGCAGCACCCACGACAACAGGGGTACTGAGGAGGTCGGGGCTGCCCCTCTCCACTGGCGGCCAAAACACCTTGAGTCCGTGGCCCTACTGTCACAGCAGGGAAACCCGAGCCCTCCCCGGAAGGGTCTGCACCCCTTCCATTCTCCCCCGCGGAGCTAATCCGGATGCAGCAGATGGAGAAGGAAAACCGCCAGCAATTCATTCAAGGATGCTCCTCCGGGCGGCCGAAGGAAAGACAGACAGACAGAACCCGAGATACGAAGCAAATTTTTAAGAGACGAACTTGACAGGGAATGAATTAAGGGAGAGACACGTTTTTAAACTGCCCAGCAACAAAATGACGCTCCCACCCCCGACCCTGCAATCCCCGGCAAAAAAAAAAAAAAAAAAAAAATAGCGAGTTGGGAAAAGGGAAGGACAGACGGGCTCCACCAATGATGTGAACGTTAGGGAGGCGTGGGTTTTCGCTGGGAGTGAGGGGAACAGGACGCGAAGGCTTTAGGCGTTGCAGCCAGACCCCAATCGCTGGTGGCGGATAATGGCCAGCAGAGAGGATGGAGACGAAGCACTACCACCAGAATACCAAAGGAAATCCTGGCACCTCTTCCAAAAAAAATAAATAAATAAAAAACATAAGCCCACCAACCCCACCCCCACCCCCCGACGCCCCTCGAGAAGGCCGCTCTGCAATTGGGCCGCGCGGGTGTCACTCAAGGGCACTTAAACTAGATAAAGCAGACGCAAGCTTAGAGCCCCCCACGCGGCAGCGGGCTCCGATGGGGTCGGTGCTGTGGCCGTTGTCTACCTTCAACTTGGCCTCTCAGCACACCCCGGAACCCGCTAAGATGATGTCTTCTAACCTTGTCCCTCCAACACCCGCGACCGGCAGCTCCCCGCAAGCCAGGGCCACTTACCTGGCCGCCGGCTGCACTGCCGATGTTAGGGCCGGGCGTTCGGCCTCTCGCGACCGTTAAACTCCGACGAGCGTGCGCGCGCCCGGCGTATCGCTTCTGATTGGCTGCTCCGAAGGGGGCGGGCACGTCGCTTGCGTCCACCTCCCCTTCCCTGGCGCGCAGCTGGTGGCAAAAGAGAGAGGTCGAAAGCCGAGGGTGTCAAGGGAGAAGAGGGTGGAGAACAGGGCTGCGGTCAAATCCTCCTCTCTGATTGGTTCTCTGGTAACCGACCGCTGCCACGCGGGAAAGAAGCCTGAGCTTCTCGCATGCGCAGTTAGTGAAAATGAGCCTCTGGCAGGTAAGGGAAGCGGCGGTGAGAGAACTACGCGTGCGCACACCGGGGAGCGTACTTATCTCAAGTACGCGGTGCTTTGGATTCTCACTGGATATTTTGGGCGGGGAGGCTGATCCTGAGGCCCAGGTAAGCGTTCGCAGAAAAGTCAGGCACCCCTACGGCTGCCCCCGACTGGCACGGGCTCAAAAGAAGCCTGGAAGCCAATGCACCTGCATTTTTCCCGGCTTGTGACCAATTTACCTGCTGGCGGGGAGGTGGAGATGGCCCTGACCCCTGAGCTAAGTTTACCCTAAGCCGCTAGGGGTTGGCCCTGGGGCTCTTCAAGCACTTGGAACGGGGGACAAGAGGTGGGTGACCGCCTTGAAGTTTCACGGAAGTCCTGGGAGCGATGGGGCGATCCACGTGCACGTGATTATTGGGCTCTGGCCACGCAGCAGGTGCAGGTGCAAGAGTGGCGCGGATGGGTGTCATCCCTGCCCTTACTGGGCTCTCAAAGGGCCGCAGAGAACGATCTCTGACGCCCTGTCCAGCCCACGTTCTTCAACCCCGTGAGCCTAGAAGGTGCTGGCAAGCACTTAAGCTTCCCTCCGGTGTCGAAGCACTGCCACTCACGTGTGCCAGGGCTGGTATTGAGAGGCAGGGGGATGCATTGCCCTGGGAATGATACACCCAAGGTATAACGGCCGGGAGACATCGCATGTCATCTGCGCCTCTTTAAAGACCTACAGGTTATTCCTCAACAGTAAAAACTTCACTCTCCATCCAAAACACCATCAGTGTATGTCATAGCTCAAACTTAAATAAATGGAACCCCCCCGCATTGTGTTAATCCACCAGCCAGTATTATGATCATGTAACACTTAACCAAAATCAAATCATTTTTAAGCATAAAGCTGTTTTCAGTTACCATATTCCAAGCCCACGTTCCCCCCCCTCAAAAAAAAGAGGGCTGTTTTATCATTAATTTTAGTTGGCCACAGTCTATTAGACACTGTAGAATCTTGCACTCACAGGACTGAGGAGTGTGAATTCCGAAAACAGCTCCAGGCAGAGAGATGTGTTTTCCCACAAGGAAAATATGAACCTGAAAGGCAAAGTACTAGTGATGACTTACTAGCCACGGAGAAGGTAGAGCTACAAAATCAGATGGGGCTGTGTGAGCTTGGGAGTGTATGTGTTTGATTTGGGTTTTTAGGTCATTTCTTTTTAATCCATTAATGTTTTAACAAGACCAACATGTTCAGGAGCTAGCATTCTGATAAACTTATCTTGTTAATTGATGGATGTAGTGACATATTTTGGTAAGGTTGCTTACACTATAGTTCCTACTTTAGGTTTAGCTATTTAGGATTTTTTTTGTAATGGGTTTCATTGTGACATTTTCATATATATAATGTACTTCAATAATATTCACACACACCTATTTTGGTAGGGTCTTAATTTTTTTTTGGGGGGGTGGTGATTGGGGCAGTACTGGTGTTTGAACTGGGCCTCATACTTCCTAGGCAGGTGTGTTAACACCTGAGCCACTCCACCAGCCCTGTTTTGTGATGGGTTTTTTTCAAGATGGTCTTGCAAACTGTCCACTCAGGATGGCTTTGAACCTCAATCCTCCTGATCTCTGCCTCCTAAGTAGTTAGGATTACAGGTATGAGCCACCAGTACCCAGTGGCAGCATCTTAATTTTTAAAAATCCAAAGTGGAAACTCCCTTTGACTAATAGCACTAGACAGAAGTGTCTTTTTAAAAGCTTTATAAACAGGCTAAAAAAAAGCAGTTCTTAAAAGTCCAAATGTCTGAATAGAAAACAGAAGTTGAAGGCTTCAGAAATGCAAGTAAATGTGTTAAGTATAACTGTTCCTCTAATCTAACCTTCCCCCATACTTGAGACCTTGCATTAATTGTAAGCAAGCTGATATCACTATTTTATGGCTCTTATGATTGGTAATTATTATCTTATTATAACATCAACTTTTCAAATATTTGTCATTTGTTGACAGGGTTTCAATTTGACAGTTTTTAAGGGGAGATCTTTCACATCAGTGAGGCAATTCAGTAATAGGAAGCTGATAAGTGGCCGGAGAAATTTGGTTTGCTCCAAAAAAAAAAAGAGAGAGAGAAAGCCAAAAAGAGAGAGTTAAGAAAACCAAGCCAACATTTTTTTTATTATTATTATTCATATGTGCATACAAGGCTTGGGTCATTTCTCCCCCCTTCCCCTACCCCTTCCCTTACCCCTCGCCCCCTCCCTCTCCCCCCACCCCCTCAATACCCAGCAGAAACTATTTTGCCCTTATCTCTAATTTTGTTGTAGAGAGAGTATAAGCAATAATAGGAAGGAACAAGGGTTTTTGCTGGTTGAGATAAGGATAGCTATACAGGGAGTTGACTCACATTAATTTCCTGTGCGTGGGTGTTACCTTCTAGGTTAATTCTTTTTGATCTAACCTTTTCTCTAGTTCCTGGTCCCCTTTTCCTATTGGCCTCAGTTGTTTTTAAGGTATCTGCTTTAGTTTCTCTGCGTTGAGGGCAACAAATGCTATCTAGTTTTTTGGGTGTCTTACCTATCCTCACCCCTCCCTTGTGTGCTCTCGCTTTATCATGTGCTCAAAGTCCAATCCCCTTGTTGTGTTTGCCCTTGATCTAATGTCCACATATGAGGGAGAACATACGATTTTTGGTCTTTTGGGCCAGGCTAACCTCACTCAGAATGATGTTCTCCAGTTCCACCCATTTACCAGCGAATGATAACATTTCGTTCTTCTTCATGGCTGCATAAAATTCCATTGTGTATAGATACCACATTTTCTTGATCCATTCGTCAGTGGTGGGGCATCTTGGCTGTTTCCATAACTTGGCTATTGTGAATAGTGCTGCAATAAACATGGGTGTGCAGGTGCCTCTGGAGTAACCTGTGTCACAGTCTTTTGGGTATATCCCCAAGAGTGGTATTCCAAGCCAACGTTTTTTAAGGAACTGGGAAGAGAACAGATCTGAGAGATTATGAAAGACGATGAGACAAACTGGAGGGAAAAACTGAAAATCAAATGGTCTTCCAAGATAGGTCTTCCTGGGACAATTCACGTAGTATGTGTCATTACTCTGTTTATTTGTATCAAATACAGTCATTGTTTGCTTGTCTTTTGGACACAGGATCTCCATATGTAACCCAGACTAGCCTCGAACTTGAGACTATCGTGCCTTTGCCGCCAAAATGCTGGGGTTACAGCTGTGTGCTACCATGCCTGGCACAATAACATATTTTATTTAAAGTGCTTTGGAAACAATTAAGTCCTAAACAAATACACGGTATAATTAATGGTAATACAAGCTTTGAGACTTTGAGGAGAAAATCTAGAGTGTTATTATTGCTGCTTTTTATGTGTTTGTTTTAATCACGTAGATGATAAATTATAAAGTTCCTGTGAGATGCTATAAATAGAAGAAAGTCACAGAAGTGCACACAAATAGGACAGGTGTGATTCTCTGTGGATTAAAAGTTCTGTGTTTAAAGAAAGATGAACGGATGTGGGTACTATGTGAGTTAGATGTTTTTCTTTTTACATACTTCATGAGTTTTGTCTTAAACTCTGCAGCAGCAAGCCTGTTGAAAACAGACCAGACCCAGAGTGGTCTCCTTTTCCACTTGTCCCCCAGATCAAAGACACGCACTCTGCATGTCCTCCTGAATCTATGGTGCTCTCCTGGTCGGAGAAGTGATTCCTGGGGACACTGACTGGGTGTGAGATGCTTGATCTTCTCCGTGAAGCCCCTACTAGGAAAGGACATGGTCTGCTCCACACCTGGCCTGTGGTACTATGTGGTCCCTTGGAGAGGAGTCAGCCCTGGGATGCACTGTGGGCCTGCGGGTGAGCTACACAAGAATGACAGAGAAAGGCTACTTGTTTTTTGACTCTTATTTTGTAGGGAGCACAAAACACTTTTGAGGGCTAGAATGTAGCTCCATGGTAGAGTACTTGCCTAGGATGCACACGGCTCTGGGTTCAAATCCCAGCAATGCCAAAAATAAAAAATAAAGTAAAAATAAAAACATCACACTTTTGAAGCCCGGTGTGATGGTGCATACCTGTATTACCAGCACTCAGGAAGTGGAGGTGAAGGATTGCAAGTTCAAGGCCTACCTAGGCTACATAGAGAGACCCTGTATCAAAAAAAAGAGAGAGAGAGGCACCACACTTGAAACATAAAGCACCTCTCAGAAAATCCTGCACTGCTCCTTTTACTTAGCTTCTGGTGCCATCAAATAGGCCATTTTGTCTTCTTAAAACTCCAGTGTTGCTGGGCACCAGTGGCTCATGCCTGTAATGCAGAGATCATGAGGATCTCGGTTCTAAGCCAACCCGGGCAAATAGTTCATGAGCCCCTATCTTGAAAAAGCTGTCAGAAAAAAGGGCTGGTGGAGTGGCTCAAAGTGAAGGCCCTAAATTCAAACCCCAGTATCACCACACACACATACACACACACACACACACACAAACCTTCAGTGTTGCCCATTAGGCTATTTAAGCTGTGTCTGGTCCTCAGCCATTTATTAGATCATTGTTCTGAGACCTGGGGTTCCATCTCCTTATTGGGGAAGGGAGACGACATGAATAACCAGCAATCAGCACTCCTGAATTCTAGTCTCAGCTTCTTAAATGTCAGAGAGATAGCATCTTTTTAAAGTATCCGTCCTACAACTGGCAGAGTAGCTGAAATACTCTGCCTGCTTAGCAAGCATGAGACCCTGAATTCAAACCACAGTATAGCAAAAAAAAAAAGTGTGCTAACAACCAGAGACAGGGTCTCACTGTGCAGCCCAGGGTGGCCTCCAAAAAAACCATCCTTCTGCCCTCCATCTCCCAAGTGTGAGATTACAGGTGTGCATCACCACACCTAGCTACCCGAGGATCTTTATTTTTGAAAGTCAGTCATCAGATTCTCTTATTTTTTAAATTCATTTGGTAGTACTGGAGTTTCAACTCAGAGCTTTGCACTTGCTAGGCAGGTGCTCTACTGTTTGAGCCTCCAACAGTAGGCCACCTGAGGACCTTAACATTCAGGTGTCAGTTAGTAGGTCTGGGTACAGCCTGAAAGCCTTCATTCTTTGTGTGTGTGTGTGTGTGTGTGTGTGTGTGTGTACTGGGGTTTGAACTCAGGGACTCATACTTGCTAGGCAGGTGCTGTACTACTTGAGTCACTCCGCCAGCCCCAAGTCTTCACTCTGAACAAGGCCCCAAATGGGGTTGTTGCCTACACTCCATGGACCACACTTGCAGTAGTAAGGTCTATAGCTACATCCTCCAGTACAGCATCCCCCAGCATGGGTGGCTTGGGAACACTTGATATGTGGTCAGTTTCTTGGTATTTCATGTCATTAGAGAAGGCAGAAGCTCAGATGCACATAGCAGTATTTGTTGGGCAACAGCCCTCTAGAACATTAGCACAATAGAGGTGACATTTTTGATGTTCCTTTTTTTTTTTTCAGTTTCTCTATCCCCTGGTCACCATGTCACTTTCTCTGGAGCTCAAGTTCTTTTAATTCTTTCTCTAGATGACTTCCTTACCTTCCTATCCCACTCCCTTTCACCTCCTGTGTCTCCACCATTGCCTCATCATCCCAGGGCTTTCCTCAAGCCAGGCTACAAGTCAAAGCCCACAGCAGTGCTACTCAAAATGTCCCTGGACCAGCAGCAACAACCTCACTGCAGGGGCCGCTTGGAAAAGCAGAGTCTGGCGCCCCGCCCCCACCACGCAACCAGTGAGATTTAACAAGACTCCCAGGTGGTGCGCGCACACCTTAAGCTTGAGTGGCGAGACTGGCTGGTGACAGCGTCAACACATGTCCTCCCAATCACCCTGCTAGTCTCCACATCCTCCTTCAGCTAGTTTTAGTGAGGTTTCTGAAAGTTGTGGCCAAGGAACACTAATATTCTAGTACTCCACCAGTCTAAGAAAAACACTTGGGCCGGGCTATGGCTCTAGTGGTAGACTTGCTTGTCTAGCAAGTGCAAGGCCCTGAGTCCAAACCCCAATACCACAAAATACAGGTGATGGTGCACATCTGTAATCCTAGCACTGGGGAGATGGAGACAGGAAGTATGAAAGTTCAAGGCTAGCCTGGGCACATTCAGTGAGACTCTCAAAAAGTCAAGGGCTTGGGGTAACTCAGCAGTAGAGCTGTTGTCTAGCAAGCATAAGGCCCTGGGTTCCATCCCCAGCACTACCAAAAAAAAAGCCCTTAAATAGTGAATTTTACATTACACCATCCAGAAGGCAGTTCCAGAGAGAAAATAGATTCAAACCAAATATCCTTATCTTTTTGATTTTTTTTTCTTTTTTGAGGCTCAAACCAGCGCCTTAGGTACGCTAGGCAAGTGCTCTACCTCTGAGCTACACCCCAGCTCAACCCTTTTCATAGAGACAGAAAGGACTGGTAACCATCACTTTCCTCTCTGCAGAGCATAAACACTCTTGGTGATCCAGCATCGTCCCTGCATCCGGTTTTCACCTGGGATTGCTCCTCACAGCCTGGCCACAGCTAGCCGGCTTTCCTGGTTTGGGTTGCCTGTGAAGGACTGTGTGCAGGCATTTAATAGAATACAGGTTCCGGATCCTGGTTACAGCACTCCGGGTGATTAAGAGCATATTAAAGTCTGAGAACTACTGTTCTATGGCATGGTATCCATCCTGGAATATAGCACGCACTGTATTTATACATGTCTTCCTTTCCCTCTTATGATGCAGGCTCCTCGTGCTCCCTGAGGCCCACGTCTGATACTCAATAGATGTTTGGACAAATTAACATTCCCTTTTGTAAAGTCTTCGTATCATCATGAGTTGACCAAGTTGAAGGGGACTCAGACAATGAGAGAGGCTTTAATCTAAACTCTGATCAGCTATTTAGAGCAGAAGCTATCATCAAAGGTAAAGGAAAGCCGAGGGATAGAGAGCCAGCCCTAAATTAAAGCCCACACTCACAGAAAAGGATCAGGGCAGTTCCTCTCATGACTGCTGGTCTCCCTTACTGGCACTTTTTTTTTTTTTAACCATTTTTCTTTTTCTCTTTTTCATTAAAATGTCACAATGAACTATAATTTGAGCTGCTTTTGTTCCCCAAGGGCTCCAGGTTGTTCTGTGGGTATCACAAGAACTGAAATCCAATCTTTATTCTTTGGGCTTTGGGGAAGTGGAACCATGGGTGTGTTTGTCATTTTTAGCAGTCATTGGAGTAGGGCCAAAGCTCCAGGAGATACTAGAAGTGTCTAGAATTGTCTGATTGGCTGTCAGGATTAGCCATTACACAAAGCAGCCAGTAACTGAACACTGGGAACCTTCTTGAACTTCAGTTGGATGGGAGACCTTCCAGGGTGTCTGTCAGCTCAACTAGGACAGAGGGTAGAGATTTGAAACAGTGGGATGTGACAAAGCAGCAGATAGGAAGCACTCCCCTCATCATCCTTTGTCTGGGAGGCTCACCTTATCTCAGACCTGCTTCCTGTCTGTCACTGCCTGGTAGATTCACTATCTGGCTGCAGAGAAACCCAGGAAAGGCCCTGGGTTCATGTTCCAGGATGAATCCACTCAGGAACTTGAAGCTGTCTGATACACAAAGGAATGTTGTTCTGTAGACTGAAAGCAGAAATGAGGAAGGGGATTTCTGGACGTTAACTTAGTGTCCTTCCTTTACCTCTACCACTCACATAGAAGTAGCTGATTGTTTATTGAAGATATTTCAGAGAAAATGTCTGGGTTCCTCACTTACATCTTCTTGACTATATTTCATACACATTAAGCAAGCTTTTTTTTTTTCCTTTGGAGAGAACTCAGGACTTTGTGCTTGCAAAGCAGGCGCTCTACCTCATGAGCCACACCTCCGGTCCATTTTGCTCTGTTTATTTTAGCAATGGGGTCTCGAGAACTATTTGGCCAGGCTAGCTTCCAACTGCCATCCTCCCATTCACAGCCTCCCAGGTAGCTAGGATTACAGGCGTGAACCACCATGCCCAGTTTCCAAAGGCAATTTTTAAAGCACCATTTTCACTGGCACCTTCAGTTTCAAAACATATCCCTTCACAGCCATAGAGCATCTTCCAGCACTGTCTTATCACCCACGGGGACTGGCTGGACACATTGAATGTCACAAAAAGAAGACATGGGTGTAGACCATCAGGTCAGTCATGGAGCTGAAAGCTAGCATTAGGCTTGGGAAGTACATACGTGACATTTCCTTCTGTTTACTTCCCATAGAAGTAGCAGAGGTAGAGGTGAAGAACATTGTATTGTCACTCTAAAGACACCTGTGTGTCTCAGTATCAACTGAGCACTCAGATAGAAGAAGCTTGTGTGTGCAGTGTCAGGAGACGTACATAGAACGTCCTCACTAAGCGTCCTCCCCAGGGGTTCCCTGGGGCTCACGGTGGGCACAGCAGATGTTAGCAGTCACAGCTGACAGTGAACAAGGGGTAAGCAAGCTGAGAGCAAACCTGGGCAGTAATCTGGCTGTCCAGTTACTGAGAAGCTGGCTTCTTTCTATGTCGCAGCCCGGCTGCCGTGACTAGAACTGACAAGGTTTCAAATGGCACAAGTAGCTATTTAGAGGCTCGTAGGGAGCAGTTGCAAAAAAGAGCATACGTTAGTGATCAGTGCCTACACGGTCCTCAACACGCAGTAAGCAAATGGTATGATTGTAGTTCTTGGAATCCACCTGCCTGGCAGAGATTCTACTAAAAAAAGTCAACCCCAAGCTTTGAAAGGCATCAACAAAGTCCTCTCCAGAATACTTTCTTCTCTGATCTTTTGTAAGCCTATGTGGATTGGATGGGGAAAGGCTAATTTGGTCAGGCACCAGTAGCTCATGTCTGTAATCCTAGCTACTCAGAAGGCAGAGATCAGGAGGATCGTGGTTCAAAGCCAGCCCCAGGCAAATGGTTCAAGAGCCGCTATCTCAGAAATACCCAACACAAAACGGGTGGCAGAGTGGCTTACGTGTAGAGCATCTGCCTAGCAAGCATGAGGCCGAGTTCAAGCCCCAATACTGCCTAAATAAATAAGGCTAATTCACCCACTTTCCTATTGAGAGACATTTTGTGTTGTGCCTTGCCACTGTTCATAGGGGAGACCTTTCAGATCCTTCTGCCCTTGGCCTCTTGAGCACCCCTGTGGGATTCACCCTGTCTTCACAACGATCATTCCCTGGCTAAGTGGTTTCAACCTTATGCAGTTACTCAAATCTTTTACTGACTTTCCTGGGGCTGGGGGTGTAATTCAGTGGTAGAGTGCATGCTTAGCATGCATGAGGCCCTGTATTCAATCCCCAGAACCTCCCATGGCCCGCCCTCCACACACAGACAAAACAAACCCCAGCTTGCTCTTTGATACCTTCTCTAACTAGCTCGTAAGCTCCACAAAGAAAAGTCTAAGCTCTCTTTCATTGCCTATCCTCACTACACCTTGCATGGTGTTTTAAACCTGAGGCGCCTTAATAAAAACCACTTGATTTGGCAGTTGTAACAATGAGAATCAGTTGGATCATGTTACTGGCAACACGTCCAAGGGAACAGATGTTCCTGTTCAAATCCATGAAACTGGAAACATTAAAAAACAACCCTGACATTGATTGATAGTGACTCTTACTGTGTCAGACTGTTTAAGCTCAGCTGTAAAATAGACTCTCACACCGTCATCTTTACATTTTAAATGCAGATTTCAGATTCACAAATGTTTAAATACTGTCCCTTGACCCAGGTCCTAATTCTTGCTTGCTGTACTAATTTAATATTTCTTTATCAAATTGTAGCCACATCTCTTGAATTTCACACTCAAAAACTCTCCTTCCTGAGAAAATGGCACCTCTGGATGCTTGGAAGATATTCTTGGGAGTGTTAGGAGGAAGCATTTAGTAGCTGGCAGGGTGTAGATGGTGAGAACACCGGGTGGTGCAGGGCTGGAGAGAGGGGTGCCTTGCCGAGTCACTTGCTTCACTACCCTCCTCCACACCCTGGGTTCAATAGGTCATCGCTGGAAGGTTGTTTGAAGAGCTGTGTTAGGAGCTGAGGTGTCACCTTTGAGCAAAGGTGTACTACTGAAGAGCTGGCCTCTATTTGTCCTTTGCAGGTCCCATACAAGCCAAGCCACGTCGTTGATGGGCACCTGGGGCTTGTTGCGCTTTCCCACACCCCTGACCCGGCTGTGCACGGTGCCGTGGGGACATGGGCTTTGGGAGAAGCCGACACTGCTCTCCCCAGGAAGGGCTCCCACAGTGGTACAGATGGCAGGCAAGAAGCATTACCCTGCTCTGCTTGCCCTGGACGAGAATGAACTCGAAGAGCAGTTTGTGAAAGGACATGGTCCAGGGGGCCAAGCCACCAACAAAACCAGCAACTGTGTGGTGCTGAAGCACGTACCCTCAGGCATCGTGGTCAAGGTAGAGACTGGGGTAGGGGAGTCCAGGGGCTCTCTGAGGGCAGATAGTGGTCAGCCCAGGGACATGGTGTGGGCTACCCTCCACCAGCCAGGCTAATCGAGGGCACTGCAACCTGCCTGATTCCCTGAGCTGTTCTCCCTAAGGCACAGCCTCAGGAGCCAGGTTCCAGGGTCCCATTGGAGCTAGAGCATGGTTGCTGCCAGACCAGCAGGGTCTTGAGCAAGCGAAGCAGTGGCTGACAAAGGCACCCTGGTCAGCATGCTGCTCTAAGATGACTCCCGCTGCAGAGTGCTACAGGTCTGCAGTGCTGCTGTGGCTCCTGTCCCTGAGTGGCAACAGGCAGGCCCAGTAACATCCTCTATGTGCCTCTGCCCCACTTTGGTAAATGTTAACGACACCTGTCCTTCTGCAGGAGGACTGAGGGTGAGGTGGAGGCAAAGCATATCAACCCTCAGGAGGCAAAGTGCCACGCACAGCTGCCAGAAGGAATCTTCTTTATATCCAGTGGCACCCTTACTGACTTAAAGAGTCTGGCCTGCAGAGCACTGCAGGCCATCCTGCCACTGCCACCCCTAGTCACTAGAGGGCCCCAAAGCAGCTTCCACAAACCTTGAAGAGGCTCACACAGCTGGAGAGCAAACAGGCCATCTGTTAAAGTACTGATGGCACTAACAGGAAATATTTAACCACCATGTAACATGGTGCAGGTTTCCTTCTAAGTGAGGCTATACACTTTGCTTCTCCTGCTGGGACAGGATGGTCTGACGGGGGGCTGGGAAGGGTAAGCGTCACCACCTTGCTGGCCAAGGTGCCTAAGCAGCAGCCACCATGCAAGTTAACTCTCATTTTCATCCTGGCTCAAATGATGCAGTGTCTGCTTAGCAAGTGTGAGGCCCTGACTTCAAACCCCAGTATTGAAAAAAACTATCTGTCCTAACAACCAGAACTTGAGACAGAGGCTTGCTGTGTAGTCCAGCCTGCCCTCCATCTCTCAAGTGCGAGGTTTCCATTGTGGCACAGATGTGGAACTGAGACAGACAGGTTAGGTAACTTGCCCAAGTCCTACCAAACACACAGGCTATATTCCTGACAGTTGTGCTTCACTGCCCACGTTTTGAGCCAAGAGCATGTCAGTTAAAACCTCAGTCACTTTTCCTCCTTGGGGGGGAATCCTATCATTCCGAGTCACAAAATCCTGGAACCTGATTTGTTTAAGCTATCTGTGTTACATAGCTTCATGTTTGCTTTTGGTATTCTTTCATTCCCTGGCATTTTATCAATCAGCTTTGCAAGGCATGCACCCATAATCACACAGCTTTACTACAAAGACTTTTGTGGTCACCTCGGAGTATAAACCCTATTTTCTTCCTCCAGGCAAATCTTAGGCTTAAGAATGGTGCATGCAAATGGTGCACAGGTTGCTTCCTGGTCCCAAGCTATGTATGTCACTTAGTTTTTTCATAATCATTTTAGAATTTTTAAAAGTTATTGAAGGCTGTTGTTGCTTCTAAACAAAAATAACACTCCTAATAATAAAACATTTCCAGTGAAATCACATAATCCAACTGGTGTGTGACAAGACAGAGGCTGTGGGCCAGAGGCAGGAAGGGTATGATCTTCACCGTCACTCACTCATGGGGGCTCCTGGCAAGTGGCTGTGCCTCCCTGGCCTGTCTCTAACTGTAGAGGATAGATAGGTTGAATTCAATGACTGCTGAGGTCCTGTCCCATCTCTTGACATCCTGTGGTTTCACATTGCCAAATTTTATCTCTTACAGTGCCATCAGACAAGATCTGTTGATCACAACAGAAAGCTAGCTCGGAAGATCCTGCAAGAGAGAGTGGATGTTTTCTACAATGGTGAAAACAGTCCTGTTTACAAAGAGAAACGAGAGGCAGAGAAGAAAAAGCAAGAAAGGAAAAAAAGAGCAAAGGAAACACTAGAAAAAAAGAAGTTATTGAAAGAACTATGGGAATCAAGTAAAAATGTCCCCGTAGGAAGAACTGATTCTGACTGAACCTGCCCGAAAGTGCCTGGACTAGTGGTGGCCAAGCCCATCACACTGCATGGCTTTTAAACAAAGCATTCTGATGCACTTACAAGATGTCAAAGTTTTTAAATGCTGAACTGGAACTAGAGAATAGAATAAAACCATTAAGAAACAACGAAACTGTTACTGCAAAAGGATAGTGGCTGCTATGGGGGTAGACAGTCATGATCCAACACTTAGTTGGACTTCTGTGGTGACGGGCAGAGCTGTTTCTTGACGTGGGCAGTAGTTAGAAAGGTGTCCCCTACCCCCTTTTTGAGACAGGGTTTTCCTCTGTAGCCCAGGCCAGCCTCCAACTCTTAATCCTCCAGCCTCAGCCTCCCAGGGATCACAGGCATACACTACTACACCTGGTGGTTCCTTTTTTGTTGGAGACAGGGTTTTTACTTTGCAGCCCAGGCTGTTCTTGAATCTAAGATCCTTCTGCTTCAGCCTTCCAAGGAGCTGGGACTATTGGTAGGCACCACCATGCCCAGCTTCCCTTATTTTCTTAAAGCTACACATTGGTTTGTGTGGTTGTCTGTTTTATTATAATAAAAGGTTAGGAATAAAAACACTGAAGTACTAATATTGTAAGGTCGTCCGTGTTTATGGAGAGTTAAAACATTAATAACATTTCCTGGTACCTGGTTCATGAGGAGGCCACTTGCTCAGTGATGTTAAAATGTCATTTATACTGGTCAGGCTGGTGGCACATGCCTCTACATCCAGCACTCAGGAGGCTAAGGCAGGAGGATCTCGAGTTCAAGGGCAACATAGCAAGACTCTGTCTCAAAATAAAGAGAAAATGATGAAAGTTAAAAGTTACTAGCCAGCAAGTAGCAGAGTTGCCCACCTAGCAAGTGCAAGGTTGAGTTCAAACTCTGGTACTGAAAAGTCTTTCAATGTGGAAAAACATGTCATTACCTACATGTTTGTACGGAGTAGACTTAAGAGATGAGGTCCCAGAACCTGACTTGTAAATTTGTATCATCCATTTGACCTTACAATTTTTTGTTTTATTTTGCTTTTTGGGTTCTTTAAAACCATGGTTAGTCTTCCCTTGTTAGAACTCATCTGGATTCACACATAAAACAAGTAGGAAAATACAGTGAGGGGAGGGCCACTGTCCAACTGCCAGGCACAAGGCTGCCTTGCTTTGCAGTGGAGCCCAGGCCCCGTACTACATCCACCCAGGTAAACCTTTCTCTCAGAGGCTGCCAGGTTCCGCTCTGAGCTGCCTGGGATGCTCATGCAGCCCACGTAGGGCTCACTACCTCCTACTGGCGCATCCAGGACCCTTCCCATCCCTACGTCCCTTGAGCAGCAAGTCTCTAGAGTGATGTAAGAAGCACGAACAATGGAAGGGAAATTTGGAGCTGTAGCCAGGAGGTACACTGGCTTTGATGTCTCTTTTTGCACCTCTGCAATTCTGCCATAGGCACAGAGGAGACACAGAGAAGTTGACATCCAGATCCCCACCTGACTGGGGCCAAGCCTCCTGCCTACCACACTCACACCCTCTTCCCGAGGGAAACCCCATGGCACAGTCTGTGCCTGAGGTTACAGTGAAAACCAACTCAGAATCCTCATGGGAGACACCCTTAGAGGCCAGCACAGGAGGTCTCAATACAACCAGTGCACCTTGCTCTGGCTCCAGCGTGGGGTGCTTCTTCCCGTGAGCACCAGCTGAAGTAGCTGCAGTTACTAACATTATATGAAAAGCAGACTCTTCCAGCTCTCCGGATAAGGGTAACCACCTGCCAACGAATGGCAGGCAGGGGCACTAGGAACCCACCAAGTCAGTTACACAGATTCTACTATTTTCCTTATTGTCTTTCCTCCCACACATTTAGACTTGCTGCAGATAAAGTACACCTTCATGCTACCTCCGCCTGTGGCCTATGCATGCCCTCTTCCCAGCCCACTGAGCTAATGACATCACAAAAAATGGTACTGGGACAGGTGGGAAAATCCCTGACAGGTCTTTCCAGCCTCCCCCAGAGGGGCTGCTCTAAACGGCTCTTCAGAGCTCAAGGAACCCACATCTAATACAAATTGTTAATGAAAATAAGCTTTATTACATCAAGTAATAAATACGTACAAAGGTGCTAACAGTTTTAGTCGTTCTCTTCCCGATGTTTCGATAGCTTATAGGACATGTGGGACTGAAATCTGCAGTCTTAGCATGAAAATGTTCAGGGTGCTGGTTTAGGTTTGGTGGGGTGCTCTTCCTTCTGTATTTATAACTTGTCAATTTTTAAGTTTGACTTTAAAGCACTAAGAGTCATGCAAAAGCTTAAACAAAAAAGCTGCAGTAAGCAGAACCTACACTATGGCAAACGGGAGCAGCTACTAAGTAGAACGTGCTGTCGGTCAGAACACACCGGGAAACAAAGTCCTTGGCGTCGTAGGAGTTTATGGAAAAGAACAAAACAACCTGGGTGACATAAACGTATTCAGAAGAAAAGACGAAAGGGAGACACTGGGATCTTGGAAGCAAACAGTTTGCTGCAAAATAACTTCACGTGCATCTTTTAAATCAATGTTTAAAAAGCCCTGGGTCATTCCTAACGACTTAAAATGCAAACCCTAATTAACTGCAGAATCTTCTCAATCTTTGGGACGAGGTTTGGAGCCTAGTGAACCATGGGAAAAAAAACTAAACTGTTACCATTTGGAAAAGGAACAGGAGGGGAGCTTGTGGAAAGACAGGACCCTCCCGGCCGAGGAGGAGGCTAGGATCTGGCATTCCGTTCTGTCTCGGCCAAGCACTCCCGAACCAGTCCTCGGGCGTGGATGATGCCTGCAAGGGAAGCGGAGGCTGGGAATCAGCACTTTCACCCAACTCAGCAGGAGAACCCATTCCCAAACAGGAGGAGCCACCCTTAAAACCCTCAGACTGGAAGGGAACTCAGGGGACCCACATCCAAACCACCCAAACAAGCAGGTGGTGTTATGTGCGTGGAGTCCCAACGACCTGGGCAGCTGAGGCAGGAGGATGGCTTTAACCCCAGGAATCCAAGACCAGCAACACAGCAAGCCCCCTTGTCCTCTTATGTCACCCTGCTATGACATAAGCCTGGAAGGGCTTGGCTACTGGGTGGGGTGACCTGCCGCTCCCACAAGATGGTCACTGGTACGTCCATGTGGTCATCTGAACCAATAACTTTTCTGGGCAACAACAGATTGCCTGTTAGGCTTTAGGGGCTGGCATCTTCCCAGGAATTTCTACTCCCATAACCAACACTCTTAACCAAAACCATCTGCCTCATTTGATGTCCACACAGCAGTGCAGGGAGCAGAGTAATGGCCAATTGGCTCTCCGGGTTAGGCCAGGGTTACATTCCACATCCCTTGCCCAAATCCCTTCCAGCCAGTCCCTATTCTCCAGGCCTGTCCCCATTATCCAGTCTAGCTTTACAGATAGTCAGTCACACACTTCATCAAGGTTTCACAAACAGGTTTGAGCTCGGCACTTTTGCTTTACTTATTTTTTCAAGTAGGGTTTCCCTTTTTCCCCAGGGCTGGACTCAGATGTTGATCCTCCTACCTATGGCTTCCCATGTAGCTGGGATGACGGGCACACACCACCACACCCAGCTTATGATTGAGATGGGGTCTCACTAACTTTTTGACCAGGCTGGCCTCAAACCTCGATCTCTACCTCTTGAGTAGCTGGTATTACAGGTGTAAGGCACTGCAGTAACATTTTTAAGAACCCCCAAATCCCATCTGAGCTCAGGGCACTGGCTCCTCTAAACTGCTGCCTTCTAAAATAGAAGTTCTCACTTCCCCTCCACCTGCACTATGTCATAAGGGGCATTTCTTGATGTCCTCTTCACACCTGACACCGTTTCCTGTAACATCAGCCCTCCGCCTTCCTCTCTCTTCAATCACTGAAGAATCTCAAAGTGCTCACTCGCTCCCCATCCCCAAGGACAACTGAGGGCACTCCAGACAATGAAGAACCTCGCACCACAGCCCAGCCAGCAGTTTCCACAGGCACAGTGCCGACAGGAGCCTGCTGCATCTGGCTTCCCTCTGGTGTCACCCCACAGGAGCAGGACAGGCAGGGATCAGAGCTGCAGGGTCTGGGCTACAGGGATCCCTGGGAGCCTGGCGGAGCCTCTCTGGCAGCATGCAGTGTTAAGGAGGGCCTGGGGCGGGGCTGTCCTCTTCGGAAACCCCAGCCCCCAGCCTGGGGTAATGGGCGTCCAAGCCCTTCTACCATGCCCACGGCCCCACCTGCACCATCTCCACTGACATAACAGTGATTCTGTAACACAGAATCTGTAATCTACCCTCCAATATTTCCCACGCAAATCATTCTCATTCTCTCTCTCTCTCTCTCTCTCTCTCTCTCTCTCGTTGGGACTGGGCAGGGTTGAACTCAGGGCTTGGCACTTGCAAAGCAGGCGCTCTACCCCTTGTGCCACACCTCCAGTCCATTTTGCTCTGGTTATTTTGGAGATGGGGGTCTCACAAACTATTTGCCAGGGATGGCCTTAAACCGTGATCCTCCCGATCTGAGCCTCTGAAGTAGCTAGGATTCACTGGCATCCAGCTTCTCTGTTTTTTAAAATTTTTTTAAAGAAATGAGGTCTTGCTATGTTGCCTGTTCTGGCCTTAAATTTCTGGGCTCAGCTGATCCTCTTACCTCGGCCTCCTGAGTAGCATGGTTGGGACTAAGGAGCATGCCACAACACCCAGCTTTGGGAAATCTTTCCAAACAGCAAAGGGAAGACAGGTGTGGTAGGGCGTGCCTATAATCCAGCACTCAGGTGGCTGAGGCAGGAGGATGGACGACATAGGGAAATCTAGTCTCAAAAAAAGAAAACAGGGCTAGGAGGCAGCTCCATGGTAGAGCGCTTTGCCTAGCATGCAAGAGGCCCCGGGCTCAATCCCTAGCGCAAGAGAAGAAAGAGAGGGAGAAGGGAGGAGAGGAAAAGAAGAGGGGAGAAGACAAGGAAGGGAGGGTGAAGATGCCAGCCTGTGCGATGCCCCTGCCCACAGCTCACCTCTTTTCAGTCTCTCCATGGCGCTCTTGCTCCCCGCGTAGGTGGGTCTGATCTCTTTCCCCAACTCTTCGATGATGGCCAGCAGCTCTGCATACTTGCTTTGGGGCACCTGGCTATTCCCAGTTCCCTAGGATCAGAAGGGCAGGGGTTCAAATGGATTGAACCCTAACCAACTCCAACCACACACAGGCACAGCCCAGAGGCACGTTAGCGGAGGGAAAGCAGCCCAGAATGGGGCTCCCAGGGCATGTCTCAGTCTGGGGACAACTCCTCACCCTCACCTTCCTACACTCGCTCACTCAGAGATCACCCATCTCCAAAAAGCCCACAGGTACCATCTCAAAAGAAAAAAGAGCTGGCTGTCTCTACAAGGACAAGAGCTCATGGGGAGTTTCCTGGGACGTGGATGGAAGGCAGTGTCTCCTGGTGGGGAGGGGGAGACAAGCCACTCCTGGGCTCAGCAGGACCTCACAACTGCCAGAGATTTTTAGATGAGGCCCCAAAATGTGTCAGATCCACGCCATCTTCCCCAACAGCAGAAAGCCCTTTTCTCCAGACCATCACCATGCCCCAAGCAAGCACCCAGAAGGGAGAGGGACCCGGCTTGGGCCTCTCCTCTTCTGCCTCCCAGGCCTTCTCCTGCTGCGGCTGCACCAGGGCAGCCAGCTCCCTGTGGAGGGCCCTGGCCTGCTCCTCCCGCCTCTGCCGCCTCCGCTCCCAGGCCCAGCCCAGCAGCTCAGCCTCCTGGTGCAGGCGTCTCCGGGCCTCGCGCCTCTCCTGGCGCCGCCGGCGCATGGCGAGAGCATTGCGCTGCCTCTCCAAGCTGCGCCGCGGCCCGTCCTCCCTCCGCCGCCGCTTTTTCAGCCGGTCCCGCTCCCGGGCCCGCGTTCGCTTCTCCTCCCGGGACAGGATGGCCTGGCGGGGCATGGCTGGGGGCTAAGCATCACCACCTTGCTGGCCAACGTGGCTAAGAAGCAGCCACCATGGCGACCCTGGAACGCTGGCTGGGGTCTGACCTAGAGAGAGAATCTTCCACCTGGCATCCAGGCCTTAGAGGGCAGAAACAGGAACAGGAGGTGGTTCTGAGGTCATCCCACTGACCGCTGAGGAACCCGAATCCCCAGGAGGTGCCCAAGTAGAGTGGTGGTCTCATAAAGGTGGGACCAGCTGACTCGCACCACACTTAACCACCAGCTCCTGCCACAACAGCCCTTCTCCTGTCCCAGCCTACAGTTCCAGAGTCCACTCTAGCCTTACTTCCCCAGTGAAGAGGAGCCAGGAGACCCTCCAGGGCCACCTGGGCAGTGACCTCAGCAGGAAATGAGCTCAGGGGCTGAAGCCCTTCCTAGAGTGTCATCCCCCGCCCCACCTTGGTTCTGCACTGTCTGCAGTCCTGGACACCTCTCCATTTGGATGACTAAGGCGGTGCACGTGGACCAAGCCTGGGCTGTGGGCTGAGGGAGTACAGGTGACTGATTCAATCTGCTAGTCCCCCTCCAATTCCCCTCTGCCAATATCCCCCAGGGTACCCAGGCCACCCCAGGATGCTCCTGGCACGCCATCACCCACACTGCCATACCTGGGTGTAGCCTAGCGATGGTGGTCCATAGTCACTCAGCAACTGGCGATACTGAGAGGGCGTTGCCATGCTGGTGGAAGGCGAGTGGACACTTCCAGCTACAAGGGAAAAAGAGAGGTGTCAGGTGTCTCCCAGCATTGACTAGCTATACCCAAGGACAACGGATCCTGCAACAGTCCCCTCCCCAGGTCTCTGGTGGTCACTCACTGCACACCACCCCCCACACACATACCTCCTCGCAGGAGGGAGCACCCCCAATGGGGCTGACTGAGCAAACTGCTATGCTCAGCCTAACCCTTGCCTACCCCGGCCCCAGGCCTGCTGAAGCCTAATGGCCAGAGCTTCATCCCTGCCTGGGCCCACCTGCTACCAATGCTGCTCCAACCTGGGCCAGGATTTCAAATTCACAGAAGCCTTTGTGCTCCTAGGCGCCCACCTCTGCTGGGCGAAACAGAAAGCAAGATGGCAAAGCATTGAATAAGCTAAGGCCAGCCATAGCTGACAACAGGTGCACTGCATATGCACGAAGCAGGGCTCTGGAGAACACAGCCTGCCTCTCTGTGCACCTCAGACAAGACCTCCCTCCCCAAAGAGGGACAGAACTCTGACAGTCTATGTCTCCCCACAGCTCTGTACTCCAGAAAGGGAGGCCAAAGCACCACATCGAAATACAACCCTTGCGGACACTGTCCAGGCCAGTCAGGACCAACTAGCGCCCAGAGCCCTACAGAATGCCTCCAGGATGTGGGACGGGGGAGGCCCATGGCTGGAGCACACAGACCCATAATGGCGTCCAAGTGGCCATGAGCGGTAAAGGATGTCCTGTGAATTACAAACAGCAGTAACCATGGAGAATTTACCTAGTCCTCCTCAGCAGCTGCCCGCCCGCCGCCCCCAGAGCCAAACAGTCTCTCTCTCATGCACACAGCGGGCTCTGCAGACTTGGCCCCAGGGATGGACAGCTGGTGCCAGGCTGGCCAGCGGACCAGATGCTCATCTAGTGTGGGCTAGGGGAGGGGCGGAACAAGTTCAGGAGCTCAGGCTGCTGGAGTGGGGAGGAGCACTGGAGAAGCCTGGATCACAGCCCCTGGCTGCAGAGGGGGCCTCGGAGGTGGGCCCCAGACCACCAGCAAGCTGGTGATCCCAATACATGTCTGGCTATCCGGGAGGCAGAGACAGCACTAGAGGGGGGTCTTTCTAGATCCTGAGCCCAAGTTTAGGCACCAAGAATGGATTTGGATCCCGAGTTGGACAGAGCACCAAGCTGCCCCAAGTCCATTTTCCACCAGCGATGAGACACCTGTGCTATGATGCTGTGAGGGATGGTGCCACACTCCAAGCAAGTCCCTGACCTCTGTCCACACAGGAGTGGGGTAGGGTGGGCGATCCCAGCTGCCTCAGCACCCCAGTCAAACCCCAATTTCCTGAGCATTTGGGGGTAGTAGCCTCAGTGTGTAGGTGGTGCAGGCTTTGTAGTCCCAGACGCAGGTTCAAATCCTGATGACTACAGATCATCACTGGGCTCAGGAGGATGAGTGGGTAAGTGACAGGGACAGTGTGTCATCACAGAACACTTCATGGTGCTCAGAAGATTCCAGCGGTACCTCCTGGCCTCACCTTCCCTGGACTAGGAGTTTATCCTAGCTGCAGGTCTACTGGCTGTGTGACCATAGACAAGCCCCTTCCCTCCCTGGGCCTCAGTTTCTCCACCTGTTCCATGGTACTGGGGTTAGGTCTGGAAGAGATGGAGGAAAGAGGGGAAATGAGAAATTGCCCCATTTTGGCGGAGAGGCTACAGCAATAGCAAAGAGCCTGGCTCTGCCATCACCTCAGTAAAGTGGCAGACACCCTGATTCTAATACCAAGGCCAGTCCCTCATTCCGCGCTGGTCCCGGGAAAGGGTGGCAGAGGAGTCCTCCGGGCCACTTATGCCCACTCCCTTCCTGCAGACACAGGGACAGGGCTGAGAGGCGGCTCCACGTCAGCACAGCCGGTGCGGAGCATCGCAGACAATGAGCGCAGTGTGCCGGAGCCGGGAGGGCTTGGCAGAGGCCAGGAAGCTCCTGGGGCCAGGCGCAGCTCCCCGCCCCCACGCCAGACAAAGAGCGCCTGGGCCTGGGGAGCTGGCGGCCTTCCCGCCACTTGGGGCGCCTGGGGGGGGGGCTCTTGGGCGGGGGAGGCGGGGGCTTTGTCTAACTCCGCCACTGCCACCGCCGGCCAGGCCGCAGCTTGGCAACCCGTGAGCAGGAGGCAGGGCTGGAGGGCGTGAGGGATGATGACAAGGAAGGCGGAGGAGCAGCACGAGAGTCCATCTTGGATGCAGATGGCAGGGGAGCGCTGGGCTTTCTGCAAAGGGGTCCACTAGGAGGTGGCGGACCCCTACCAAAATGCCGGAGATCTGAGGACCTCTGCACTCCTGGCATTCCCCATAAGAGGAAAAAGGCAACCCACGTACAGGTGCTAGGAGCCCAGAACAGGGCTTCAGGGTCCCAGTGGCTGTTTGTCACTGTGACCCCCCCAAACACCCCAAGTCCCAGTTTGGGGACCTCGCCCCTGCAATCCAGGGCAAGCTTGGGGTCCCTGGCCCTGTCCAGGCTAGCAGCAGGACCCTGGGCACCTGGTACCCCAGGCACTAGCGAAAGAGGCTGCCAGAAACATCCTACCTGGCAACAAAGACTATCTCTATAAGGTTTCAGGACCCCAAGGGGATGACACCATTTGAGGACAGAGTAGGAGCTGCACGCTCTTGGGGGGCTCAGTGCCCACGTGTAGGCAATTTAACTCTCCCTCTCAAATACCCTGAATTTAACCCTTTCCAAACCCCAAATATCAGTACCTAAGAAGTTAAAAAAACATAAAAAGGCACCTGACTTTTCTGGGTCCCCCTTGGGATTTTTGGAGCTATAGTGTCAACATTCAGAAGCAAGGCCCCAAACTTGAGGCGAGCTGCCAGCGTGGCATTTTTGACCAGCAGGGCCCGACCCTCCCCGTTCCCTCTTCCCCCCACCACGAGCACCTCGCTTTTTAGGGAAGTCTAAAGAGGGACCTGGAGAGGGCACGAAGCCACCTCCGAATCTCACCCCCCCCACTTCACAGCTCCCTGGGTCCCAGGGACGAGCCCCTGGGCCCAGCCGAAAGCTGCCGGACAACTTTGCAGGAGTTTCCAGGGAGCGCTCAGCCCCGGCCCGAGAGGGAGCGCAGAGTCCCTCGGCTTTTGCAGAGGGGCTCTCGGGGTCGCACGTGGGGGCTGCGGGATGGGGACCCGAGTAGCTGCCGCCCCAGCGCAGGCCCACGCAGCCGCGGCGCTCCTCCAACTTCTTTCCCTGGGCGCCCGCCCCGGGGGGCCTCCCGCGTGCGCCGGTCCTACCGCTGCTCGTGCGCCCAGGCCGCAGCCCCTGCCCACGGGTCCCCTTGTCGCCCGCGACCCCCAACCCCGCCCCGGCGCCCGGCACCCCCAGGGCCGGCCGTCGCCGGGAGCCTGGCCGCCCCGCCCTGCCCACGCGGGCCCCGGCCCCGCACGCGCGTCCCAGGGCCCCGGCCTGTCCCCGCTCCCTGGGCGCCCCGCACAGCCCGGCCGCTCCCGCCTTCCGCCGGCAGGGGCCCTCGCCGAGCCGCCCAAAAGCCGGAGGAAAACGGAGCCGAGAGAAAGCCTCCCCCGCCCGCGCCCTCGCCCTCGCTCCCCGCGGTCCGCGGCCGCCGGCGCGGGGGACTCCTCGCGGCCACCCGGCCCCAGCACGACCCCGGCCCCCGCGGCCCGCCGAGCGCACCGCGAACTTTGGCAGCGCGGACGCCGGAATCATGGCGGCGGCGGCGTCCCGGCGGTGCCCTCGCCGAGACCCGGGGAACCTGCCGCCCCCCGACCGCCGCGGGTCCCCCCGGAGCTCCGAGCCGAGGGCCGGGCGCGCGGCCCCCCAACTTGGCGGCACTTGGGGCGCGCCGCACGCGGGCCTCGGGGCGCGCTCACTCACCGGCGTTGAGGGCGGCGGCGGGCATGTGCGCGGTCAAGTTCGGCTTGTAAGACATCCCCCCGAGCGCCGGGCGCGCCGGGCGCAGCCGGGCCAGGCCGCGAGGGTGGCGGCGGCGGCGGCGAGGCCGGGCGGTGGCGCGGCGGGCCCCGCGTCCCCGCGCCCGTCCGAGCGCCCCCGAGCGCCCGCGTACTTTTTGTTGTTGACGGCTCGGGCCGCACCGGCAAATATGGCCGTCCCTCACCCTGACACCGCCGCAGTATATCACCCATACATCGGGCGCGCGGCGCAGGGGCGGCCGCAAACTTTGAGGCGAGCCAGCGGGGCCGGCCGGGGCCGGGAGGGGGCGGCCGGCGTCAGGGGGCGGCTCCGTCCGCGGCCGCGCCCCGCGCCTCCGGCTGCGCTCGCAGCCCGCAACTTGCCAAAGTTTGGGGGGCTGGGGTCCCGGTGGCGCCCGAGGCCCGCGCGGCTCCCCCGGCGCGCCCGAGGCCCCCGCGCCCGGACCACGCTCATTGGCCCGCGTCTTCTCCTTTCTTAAATAGCTAGGCAGGATTTAAGAAGTACTTTTTTTTTCCTCTCTCTCTCTCCTCTTCACTGTGGGGGCAGGGATGGAAAATTACCTGGAGAAAATGGTGGCGACTGGACGCTTTTTTTAAATAAATAAATTAACTAAAAAAGCACGTAGATCATCCTGGATGCCCAGGTCTGGCTATGCCCCAGAATGAGAATAACCCGTTCTTGACATTGATTTCGAATAAATTTCATGGCTGTCTGTATTAAGTGCTTCTTAACCCTTTGGAGGCCTTTGAGACTGACAAAAGCTAAGCGACCTCCTCCCCCTGGAAAATCTGCCCTGGCATCCACATAATTTGGGATGGTAACTCACTCGAATATTTAATTGGAGTGCCTACTGTGTGCCAGGCACGGTTCTAGGCGCTAAGGAAACAGGAAGGAACTTGGCAAAGTTTCCACTCCTTGGAGTTCACGTTGCAATTTTTTTCTTTTTTTGACCCTTCTTGTATCCCACCACCTGCCTCCATCCTCGGATCTGAATGAAACGTGTTTGGAATTCGGTGAATAACCTTCCGAAGGCACTATATTTTGGAGTTCTGCCTGAATAGTAATGCTTGTCAAATTACATAAAACGCCCACCCCTTTCTGTTGTTTTTGATCGCCCTGGTTTTCAGGGTGTTTTTTAATTAGTCACATTTAGACATCATCTCTGGATCTGGTGATAAAGGCGTCAACCTCTCCACCCAACAAGGAAGGGACTTCACACCCGACCCTCCCTTCTCTTCTGGACTGAAGGAGCAGGGAAGGGGACACTCCGTCCTCAGCTCAAGGAGGATCACTGCCCAGTGACATCCTCGCTCATGAAGAAATGAATGCTATTCCTCTGCACTGACCATGGAAACAAGGCGACCCACATACTAACTTTAATTGTAGTAGACACTTTAGAAAGTCAAATGAAAGGAAGTTAATTTTAATATTTTATTTAATACCATGGATCCCGAATGATAGGATTTCAATACATAGAAATTCATTAATAAGATACACTCTTTTCATCATACTAATTCTTTTCAGTGTGTTTTATATTCATAGGACACCTTAATCCACACTAGCCACATTTCAGCCACTCAATAGTCACAATACCTTGTGGTCACTGGATTGTACTGTGCAGGGCTAGAAGCTAAAAGCTGAGTAACCTGGGTACTAATTCTGCTCTGGCACCTGTTAGCTGTTTGAGGAGGTCTCCCTTTCCTTGGGACAAGACTTCACTCTCAGTGGCCACCCTGTCCCTTCTAGAAAGATTCTGAGCTAGTCTGTTTCTTATTGATAAGCATTTACGATTCCTGCCCCTCTCTTTAACATAATTCACTTAGCATAAATTTCACCTTTTTAAAGGATACAATTCACTGACTTAAAATACTCACAGAGCAGGGTGCGCAGTGGCTCACGCCTGTAATCCTAGCTACTTGGGAGTCTGAGATCATAAGGCAAATAGTTGGAGACCCCCATCTCCAAAATAAGGAGAGCAAAATAAATTGGAGGAGGAGCTCAAGCAGAAGAGCACCTGCTTCGGGAGCATAAAGCCCTGAGTTTAAACCCCAATCCCCCCAAAAAAAAAAACCTCCAAAGGAGTTTTGTAACTCCTTTGTGCAATTACAAAACTATCTAATTCTAGAACATGTTTCTTATCCCCAAAAAGAAACTTCACCCTCAGTACAAGCCACCCCCCAACACCGCTTTAGGCACCCACTAATTTACTTTGTCTCTATGGATTTATCTATCAGGACATTTTTACATGAGTAGAATCACACATATGTAGACTCTGTGTCTACGTTCTTTCACTTACATCATGTCTCCAAGTTTCATTCATGTTGGCATGTTATCAGTACTACAGTCCTTTTCATGGCTACATGATATTCCATTGTATTGACATATCCCATTTTGCTTATCCATAAATCTATTGCATATACTTCCACCATCCCTGCTTTTTGATGACTGCTATGAATTTTTTTGTACAAACATACTTTCAATTCATTTTTGTACATGCATGTTTTCAATTCTTTGGAGAATATACTCAGAACTACTCAGGAAGCAGAGATTAGGATAGAGGTTTGAAGCCAGCCCGGGCAAATAGTTTGAGAGACCCTATCTCAAAAAAAAAAAAAAAAATCCATCACAAAAAGGGCTGGTGGAGCAGCTCAAGGTGTAGGCCCTGAGTTCAAACCCAGTACTACAAAAAAAAGAAAAGAAAAAAAGGAATCAGTGAATCATGTTAACAGTTTAAAAATTTTTTATCCTTTTGTGTATCAGATATTTGATATGTTTAGCTATGTAAGAAAGTGCCAAACTTTCCTCAGTGATTTCACCATTTCCCATTGCTCTCCACATCTTCCCAACACTTACCCTTATCGGACCTTTTCTATTAAAGCCAGGTATGAGTTAGGGGAGCATAGCGGTCTTCATTTTTATTTACTGTGGTTCTGGGGATCAAACCCAGGTCCTTGCTCATGCTAGCAAGTGCTCTATACTGAACTACATCCACTGCCCACTTTTTTTTTTTTTTTTCACCGATGCCCTGGCTTCTTATTTTTGTCTTTCATCTATCAAGGCTCTGGAACTCACTCATTAGTGCTAACAGAATATGGGGTGGATTCTTAGGATTTCTGTGTACACGTTCATGTCATCTGAGAATAGACAGCTTTACTTCATTTTCCATGTTGGATGCTTGTATTTCTCCTCCCATGGCCCTGCCCAGAACCTGCAGCACGATGCTGGGTGGAAGCAGGGAGCACACCTCCATTTTCTTGGTGGGCTTTTCTCAGATGTCAGTTATGAAGTTCCCTTCTCTTCCAGTTTGAGTGTTTGTATGATGAAAGATTTTGTCACAAGCCTTTTCTGCATCTATGAAAGCACCATGTGTCTTTCCCCCCTTATTTACTGAGTTTCTGTCAGGCTCTATTCTAGGCCCCTAGGGTAGACAGTGCCCATGTTGTCAAGAAACACATACTCAGCTGGGCCAGTGGCTCATGCCTGTAATCCTAGCTACTCAGGAGGCAGAAATCAGGAGGATCACAGTTCGAAGCCAGCCCAGGCAAATAGTTTGCAAGACCCTCTGCTGAAAATGCCCAACACATAAAAGGGGTGGCAAGGTGGCTCAGGTGGTAGAGTACCTGCCTAGCAATTGTGAGGTCCCGAGTTCAAACCGCAGCACTGCCGAAAAATAAAAGCGTAAGCCTTCCTCCGAAAAGCTTTTCCTGGCCAGTTTTGTTTTTTTTTTCCTGACCTGTATCTTTGATGAGACTGAGGATTTTTTTTTTTCTTTTCTCCTATGTCTGTAACCCAGGCTACACACAACCCTCCTGCCTCAGTTTCTCAAGTTCTGGGATTACAGGTCTGAGTCACACGCCTGGCCTGGGCTTCTTGAATGGAAGAGTTGCATCTCTCCACGTTGGGGCACAGGACATTCCACAAATGTAATGTGCTTCTAGAATGAGACCAGTGTTGGCTCATTCTCATCTTCTTTCTGGTTACATCATCAGATGTGCTAGCTTCCCAGGACTGCCATAAGTTGCCACTCCAATGCTGGTTTACAACAAAAAAAATTTATTCCCTCAGTTCTGGAGGCCAGGATGTCTGATCAAGGTTTTGGAAGGAAGGGCCACACTTCCTGTAACGTCTGCAAGGAAAAATCCTTTGTTTCCGTTAACTTCTGGTGGCTCCACGTGTTCTTGACTTGTGGCCACATGGTTCTGATCTCTGCCTTTATGGCCACATGGCTTTCTTTGCTGAGTTGTCTTCCCTTCTCACCAGAGAACACTTGTGATTGGAATCAGGGTCCACCTAACCCAGGATGGTCTCATCTCCAGATCCTTAAAGTAATTATATCTGCAAAGACCTTTCTTCAAACAAGGTCACGTTTACAGATTGCAGAGAGTAGGGAGGTGGGGTCCACTGAGCTCACAGCAGGCCTCCACTTCCTGCCATGACTAAAAACCCAAAGGAGGAAGAAACATTCCACCAGAAACATTCCTGGTGGCTCCACTATAGCTATAGAAATATGAAACCCACTGAAGTAAACTTCTGTTAACTGTGGGCTTAGAATGGGCCAGAATGGTTCCCTGTGAGTTTAATGGACATTTTGGAGGCTTCTGGGACACACAGCAGGGGACTGGAGAGAGAGGGTAGGGGGCCCAGTGTGAACATACAGAACACTAGCAGATCCAAGTCCCAGCTCTGATGGATCAGCAGAAACCTCTCTTCCAGCCTCAAGTGACTGACTCTTCGTCTGACCTCCCTTCATGTGGAAGATCAGGGAGGTTTTACAGCATGATCTCTGCAGATTCGCTGCACACTTCACATCCAAAGCAGACAGAAAAGACATGTGCCTTTTGTTTTGGGGTTTTTGGTGGTAGGGTTTGAACTCAGGGCCTCATGCTTGTACTTAAGCCACTCTGCCAGTCCTTTTTGTGTTGGGTATTTTGAGATAGGGTCCTCCAAACTGGGCTGACCTTGAATGGTCATCCTCCTGATCTGCCTTCTCAGTAGCTAGGAGTACGGGGTGAGCCTCCAGCACCTTGCAATGTCCCTCTCTCCTTAGTAAAAACATGAGCTCAGAAAGCCTATACAGTATTTTGGAAGTGTTTCCATCACTGGACAATATTCTGCTACAGCATGGGGTGGCCTGGCCTGGGTGATGAAATGGTTGATTCAGGAGAGAGGGAGTAATAGGATTTATTTACAGTATACATATGCTGTAGTGGGGATCTCAAGTATACTCCAAAGGCCC